GCATACGCAAAAGATCCCGTTGTTGCATCCCAGAGAGGTGTGAAGAGGACTTGTCCCGCAGAGGGAAAGGCAGCACGGATGGCCTTAACTTCCAGTCGTCTCCGACGGCTAGGTATGCGTACCTGGCTTGACGAGCTCCTGAGTCTCCTTGACGAGTCTATATCATCTTCAGACGAAGAGGATACGTTCCATTCCAAAGTGAACAATCGACCCCCAGGATATCGTTTGACAAGATCCTGGATTAATTCAACATCCAAAGCTTTTACTCTATCATCCAATCCTTTTTCGGGAATGATCGGGTTGGATTGCGTCGAGTACGCGACAAATGAAGACTTTGTTGCCAACTGAAGCGTTCCGTTGTTGGGTCCCATAGTCTGGCCAAGAGCATTTCCATCCTTTTTATTCATGTTACGCAGTCGAGCACCCACGTTGACAAATGCGACACAACCCTCCTCGCCGAGGTCTCCTAGGCATTCTCGCAACAGATTCGCAGCTCTTGCAAATGTTTTCGTGTGAGTCCTTGATTCGCCATCGCTCTCCGAGCTTCCCTTCAAGTCATCTGTGTCCGAGGACTGTTCCGACGCGCTGAGATCTTCAGCATGTTCGAGGGGGACGGTAGTCTGGCTTCGCAAGTTCGGCTCACCCTGGCCAATCGACTTTTGCCATGTTTGAGAGGCGTCATTTTCGAGGGGCACTGTCAGGCCATATGCGGTCTTGGACCTCCTCTTGAACACGGCGTTGTGGAGGTATCCGGTTTTCTCGCCGTGAATACTCTTGCGACCGGCAATGAAAGCTTCGAGACCTTCGGCCATTCGGCGAGACTGACGTCCTTCTATTGCTTGTCTGTTCGTCTCGAGAAAGAACATTATCTGCTGCGCGGTAGATGCGAGGAACGATTCTTCGGCAGGGGTCAAACCGGTTGGACGAGTCAGGGTGTCCAGCTTTCGTTTCCTCGAGTCAGTGCCGTTGCTAAGGATGGATTTCAAAGAGCAGTCACGGATCTTGAGGTGCTCGCAGAAGAACTAAGACAAAAAGAGGAAGATATGAACGCAAAGGGGGAGAGACTTACAACGGCGAGACTGCCTATATTGACGCCATCTCTTGTTGTGATCGGGACGCCTGCATAAAATCTGTAGTATGGAGGGCCCGAGACAATTTCCATGTGAGCAAATTCAGATTTGGACAGGTCGTTGATTACAAACTTGGGTACAGTGTTTTCATCTTTATTGTCGAGCCTGATGGTCAATTCACAAATTCTCCCCTTGAGCGGCACTGAGCTGCAGTCCAAGAAGATGGGATCCTCAACGAACTCATACGTGTCGTCACCCTCTTCCGTGGAGATTTTTGTGGCTTCACTCAGGAAATACATGACATCCCGATCCATGACATTGACCATTGCTTTTCTGACTTTCAAGCGGAGTGCTGTCAATTGACAGAGGGGAGAGAGAGCCTTGCACAGGTTGGGGACCTCATCGCTGGAGATATGGAAACCGGAGGGGGGACGGCGCAAGTGAGGCTGGAGAAGATTGTCTGGTTGAAAGTAGTGGTAGAACTCTCGAGCCCTCCGTGCGGCGTCCATCTGATGGTCCGTAGGTTGGGCAAAGGACGCACCATCTTCTGTCGGAACCACCATGGCGCATGTAAAAGAGTCCCTCCTGTACTCTGCCTCCTCTTGCTCCTCACAGGGCTCGATGCTCTCTCCCCAAGGATAGGCGGTAATCAACTTCTCAACATAGCGGAAGGCGCAGGGAAGGGGGCGTGAAGCTGAGGCGAGGGAGTTGGAACAAGTCAGATAACAACAGTCAGTTCTCTAAGTGTTTGTGATACAGCAGGTTCGAGACCCAAGAAGCCTGCCCCACCTAAAAAGGAAAGAATTGTGATCACACATCGAGAGGGTGTTCCTTGTTATCAACGGACGCCGCGGCCAGTGCAGAGGGAACCCGTTGCAAGGGCCATGAGAGACCTCTGTCCTGGGTCTGGAACGCCCAAAAAGCTTCGGATCCCGCTCGAGTTACGTTACGTAGGGTCCCCGATGTGCGTGGGTTCAATGTGGCGGCCAGGGCAACACAGGGTTGTGCACTGCAGATCGAGGCTAGGAGGTCGGGGAGGTCCAAGGGAGGTCACACAAGTAACTAGCCTCACCTGTCCGCCAGATCCGAGGGCTTGCAGGGCTTCTCGGAGGGGCCAGTCTCGCTGTCTGCGGGGCGCAAGTTGCACTCCGCAGTAGAATTACGGTTAACCATATGAGCAGATGTTGCTAAAAGTGCGATGCTCCTCGACGTCAATAATTGACTGAAGCTAGAAGCTCACCATACCCTGGCAATCAGCCACGTTTGAACGAAGTTGTGGAACGCCTATTTCTTTTTACCCCATATACGTTCCCGATCCCTTCACGATGCGAGCGACGTCGCGGCTTTTTGCAACCGTCAAATCAGCCTCGAAATACCTTGAACCCAATACGCCCACAGGCCTAACGGGTCTCACAACACACCCTTCCCCCCGTCCTGCCCTCATCTACACCTACCGGCAGACCCTCAGTAAACTCGCTCAACTGCCCAAAAGCTCCGTTTATCGCCAATCCACCGAGGCTCTCACAAAACAACGCCTGCAGATCATCGAGTCCACAAAACCAGAAGGATACGAGCAATGGCTGGAACGAGTGCGCAAGCAGATTGAAGCCAGCCCTGCGGCTTTTAGTAAACTGCTGAATGAGGATGGATCGTTGGGTAGCGAGAAACTGCATGTGGAAGCCGTGGATAATTGGGATGGCAAGATCTCAAGACAGGATGCGAAGTACGAGGGACCGAATACGATGGCCCAGGCAGAGGCGAAAGCGAGAGCTGTCAGTGACGAAGTGCAAGAAAAGGACCTGGAGGACAAGCAAGGCCATCAGCCAACTGTAGAGGACCTGGAGGTGGAACCACCGTTGACGAGAGAGCAGTACGTATCCGGGTTCGGTCTAGGCGGATCATTGTATTCATTGCTGATTTACTACAGGATCGAGGGAATCGAGCAAAAGATTGGTGCTGGACTGATTGAAGAAGTCATCCAAGTTGCCGAGGGAGAGCTGGAACTGGTGGCTGAGATGCTGCGACATCAGGTGTATGTCTTCCCCGATTACCCTATTATTCTTGGCTTTTCCCGCTTACGCTTGCTTTTAGATGGGAAGATTTGGAAGAACATACCCCGACGGGTCAATGGGTGTACTTCGAGCGTGGCGATAGAGTCTAGTAGTTCTCAACAGGCTTTTTGCTCAGGGGTCTCAGGACTTGTACATATGATTCCGGAAACACGAAATGGGCATCTAGAGCATTGACATACTGTGGTCCCGCATCTGAGGGTGCTTGATACAAGCCGTGAATACACAGCTCTTCGTTGATTTTATCGCGCGGTCTTGATGTGTCTTCCTCTCCGGACAAGCGTCCTTTTCAACCCCAAGCATTCGCCCAGTCGTCGTAGCAGGCCCTCCCCAATCTAATATGTACAATCATCCCCGATAGCTCTTCCCGCGCCTTACACGCACATCCCCTGATCTGCTCGAACTCCCTGTTCCTAAGTTTCCCAGCGGATCTTGTGCAACTCCTTAAAAAGGATTGTCCTCCGGCGGCACCTCCCTGATCCAGTAACTGCCGATGACCGGAAGCTTGGACAGAATATCTTGCCTCACGCGGGGCACTTCGCCGAAGAAAAAGACTGCAAAGACACCTGCCGCAACGCCGAAACCCGATGCGATGTAGCCGTAACGGAGGGCCTTGCCCATGCTGAAGCCCATGAGGTTAGGGACGTGTTTAATTCTGTCAGGGAAAATTCGAAGTTAGCTCAACACCAACATAGAGGGCATGCATCTATCTGCGAGAGAGAAGCAGATCAGAGGGCCGAAATGAACAGTCGTACTTTGGTCCATAGGGTGAAACGTAGGTCTCGTATGTCGGCTGCGGTTTATAGACACGCAGAGGCGTCCGGCCAGAGCTTTGGAAGTGTTCGTATGCAGGCATACTGCCTTTCGTCGAACGGGTTAGAGCGGAATGGTGTCGAGGTGCTGAGGTTGGTGGGTTCAAGCTGCGGGAAGAAGTTCAATGTCGTCGTTGGATGCTGGAAAATGAGCTTTGAGCTTCAAAGTTGCATTTCTACGGCTGCGGGGATGATGCAAGAGCGCAGTCTTGCATCTGAGCCAATGAGATGAATGGAAATTTAGAACCAAAATCTGTGCTTCCAAGGCTGTCAGGCAACCCAACCAACTCGTGCTGCTCGACCTACGTCCTATTCATAATATCACCTTGCGTTCATCATCATACTCTTTACAGGCAATTCCACGCTGCGGTATTGCGTCAGCTGCACCATGAGGTCGCGAAGAGCAAGGCAGCCTCTTAGTCCTGCCCTCCATCCTCCGGCATTTCCACTGCGACGTCTTATCATCCTGACCTCACGCGCACAATCACTCGCCGTATTCTTATGAATTTTGGATTCAAAAACGGGAACTCTTTATAACGAGACTCAAAATCAGAGCCACTAGGCATGTGAACAGCGCTCCAACGACAGGCATACAGTGTAATGTGACTCAATGAAGGGTAACCAATCGTGCTCCGAAATCCAAGAAGTTCATCGCCTATTCGCTCCCGCCTCTGTTCGATTTGATGCCGTCCGAAATTATGTTCCGATTTCGGTGCAGCTGCTTTTGCATGTTGTCCAGAGTAGTTTGTGATAGCTTCGACCTTTGTATGATCGAATGGGCGAGTCTCTTCCTCAGGGAATTGGGGGACGTCCTCCGCTTTGTGAGGCGTTGCAATACCAACGACACCGTATCCTTTCTCCTTTTGAATGACTTGCGTGACGTTTCCGCTTGGAAACTGCTGCTCAAGGTGCTGGCTCGCGTCGAGAGAACAGATCTCTTGCGCAGAGTGTATGCCATCGCCATGGTCCACGAGCTGTTTCGATACGCGTTTGCGCCACAGCCTTTCCTCGAGAACGTCGAGAACCTGGTCTACATGTCCCACGACCCCTCAAAGCTCGACTCGTCCAAGGTATGCGTCAGTATTCAAGAACGTTCTGAAGAGTTGCGAGGACCCTTCATCTTCATCTTCAAGAGGTAACTCTGGGTGCCGATCGTCAGCCAGAGACTCGACGTCCCATTCAGCGAGTGTTATGCCCGCGTTTGGAGGCAATTGCGACAATTCATCTTCCTCACCGTCTATGGCCATTGGTCCTGGAGCGTCAGGGACCAGGCATGACTCAACCACGGGCTCCGAGAGTTGAAACGATGTGCTCATGATCTGCTCGAGATTCTGCGGAATTTCAAGAAGACCAACCAGAAGAGAGGGTAGGTCGTCTGAGTCGTGAGCATCAAGGGTTTTGTTCAAGCCACTCAGATGTAGACGCAGCCTGTCGCCCTCCTCCTCGAGACTTCGCAGCATTTCCTTGTCGATCGCTTGGCCACCATTACCGCAACCTTTCCCAAGAGATACCTCAGCACTTTTGTGTCCTCTTGATTCGAGCCACAACACGGTGCAATGCCAGTATGTCACTGTCCGTGTTCCTGGTCCCCCCTCCGGAAAAAAAAGAGAAAAAAAGAAAATGGAAAAAGAAAAACTACCTTTAATCGAACAAATCTGCCCACTTCTGTTGCTCCCCGGAAAATGAACTTCGCGGAATGACTCGGGCTCTTCTGCTCAAGGAAGTGCCGAAAATGCCTGATTGTACTTCTAATGGACTGAATCTCCGATTCGTGGGTTCTGATTGTCCCCAGTCTGCTACTTTTAGGTGCTTGGTGGTGAGACGGCATGGAATCCTCACTGTCACTTTCATCAAGTAAGATCTATTATGAGACATATCGTAGGAGAATCGCCACACCAGGAAGGGCGCAAGGGGATTCAAACATTTCGAATTTCTCTTCATGGACATCAGTCCAGCTTCTTCTCGCGCACGGCGTACAAGTTCTTCTTGAGAATGGTGTTCGGCTTCTTTACGGGCCCGACGTGCAGCTTCTTCTTCCACAACGGCCTCGCGCAGTAGCCGTCTCAACTGGTGGTCGGAAATATTGCTGATTCCATTTAGCGCTCCGCCGAGTCGAAAAAACTATATTTCGATCTTATGCTGAGAGACGGCCAAAATCCACTCCTGGTACCCTGGCGGTCCGAACGCCTTAAGGACCTTTTTCATTCTGCCAAAGACATGACACATCTAGTTGAAGAAGCGTTAGAGGGGTCCAGCAATGAATGCTGTGGAGATTTCAACTGTGTACCCGACGACGATCAACAGATCAATCCTTTTTTTGCCATGTCTCCTTCTCTAATATCAAGTACAGGCTATCAGTCCAGTTCCCGCCAACCTTGTATGTTTTCTCCTTGAACCCATTTACCACAAATCCGACCTTTTTCAACAACCCAACGCACGCCCCATTCCTTGGGTCTGTGTCGGCTGTGATTTTGCTCATTCCTACCTCGCCAAATAAGTACGGAATCAGCGCATTGAGCGCCTCCTCGGCGATGCCTTTACCCCAGTACTGGCGAACCAGGAAGAACCCAATCTCATTGTCTCGCCAGACGCCGATCTTGCCGACCGTGATGGGATGATGTGACGACGTCGATGAGTTGAGTAGTGTGATGATGAAGTCCGTGACGCCGTTTTGCGGGGCCGAGACCATCGTGAGAAGCCATCTTCCTGTCCGAGCGCGGCGGGTGTGCGGATCCGAGCCCCTTTTTCAAGAAGGTCTGTTACGGCGACGTTTGAGGCGGAGAAGATTGGGTGATTAAGGGTCGGGGGCAAGAGCAAAAGTGACAAAACACTTACATATATTTCATCACTTCGGGATCTGAAAATGCCTCGTACAGACCTATCACGTCGACGGCGGTCTTTCTGGCGCCTCGTAGAAGGAGCCTGGGTGTCGAGATTTCGACTTTTCCGTCTTCTAGATGTGAGATTGTTGCCATTTATACATGTCCTCAATGTTCTCGAGTCTCAGCTTAAGGAAGGTATTTGTTTCTGGAGGTAGCAAAACCCCACGCACGCCCGCAGCGCCGTTCATCTATTATCGTAGAATAGAAATTAATTCCAGCAGGTCTTCGAGGAGATTGGTCCGGCCAAGGTGAAGAGTCATATTACAACTTGTCATGGCCGGAGTCAATGCGGTGCAACCATCGAGGTTCGCCCCATCGGCCAGCTTAGACCTGATCGGGAAGGCTGGTGAGGCATAATAATAATAACCCACTTTGCCACCCCTCCCCTTGGAAGCGCAAAGGAGTGCCAGCCTCGTCTCGCTTGCTTCCTTTATCCTCTCAACTCCGTTTCCTACAGAGACATATTACACCATTCATGTCGACGCCCTCTTCAGCTTTCTTTACCTGCAAGCCGAATTACCAATTGTTTTTGGGTCTTGATCTTGAGCAGGTCCTCTGACGGAAAGAAAGGGCGCATTGCTTGGATGCTTACGATCGTGATTGTGCTCGACATACATAGTCTGGCACGCTCGTAGAAAAGCTAATTGCAAGACCACGGCGGATCTGGCTCGCTCATCAGTTGTCTACGGCCTGGAGTCAAAATACCCTGATTTTCCCTTTTCCTTTAGCGTGGGCTAATGCATTTCCGTAGAGAATGTAATGGGTGTAGCGGATTGGCGGATATTGGCCCCATACTCTTATAAGGGAATGAAAAGTGTCATTCAGAAGATAGATGCTCGCTTGTGGTCGGTGAGAGTTGCGTCGGTCATGCGAAATTAGATACATGGAGACGATATGTCCAAGCTACCGAAGACGAGGGAGGTTTCGTAGATAACGCTCGGAGCGCCCTGGCGGGGAGATATCTGACCACTTCGCAAGTCGAATGTTGACACAAAATCAGCTGTTGAAATATTTATGGTGCGGTGTTGCATTGTTGTTAAAGAATCTAGATGTGGATCCTGTCTATTGCTCGAGAACAGTCCGCCAGTTGTTGGTTGACTTCAGCTGCGGTTGAGCGACAAAGAATCAGGTGGCCACTGGGTGGGCAAATAAGTCTTGTCCACAGCATCATCTCCTTAACTTGCTGGAGCTCTGGTCCAGGATAAGCTGCCATATGTGAGCAGCGCACCATCCAGTTAATCGAATGGAGCCCCCCAACAAAACCCCTTAACTAGATTTTCCTCACAAGCTGAATGAGTTTTTTTTTTGCGACTTTTGTGGAAAGATGCAAGAAATAAAAAGTGTGATTTCGTGGGCGTCGCCGCCAGTTCTCTGATTCGCCAAGCTAAAAGCAAACTAGGGATGTATGGGTGGTGGATATATGCAAGTTTTCGAAGCCAGCGGCTCAACGTTTGGCCGGGCATGAGGGAAGGTGGTTGAGGAATCTCTGCTTTGCAGAGGAGCCTTGAAATCACTATGACTTGGTGCGCCGCTCATTGACAGTCTCAACTCCGATGTCTGAATTGGCGTTAATAAAAAACATGACCCAAGATCTTGTCCCAGAAGGAATCCTTTAATTGTTATTGATGGGCATCACCGGTGCTCTTCGACAACTCGACAAATGTAACCGACAAGGTCCTCCTTGGTTTCCGGTAATCAGTATTCTCGCCGAATAGCCATAATCGTAAATCTATAACAGCAGTCCACATAAGATAGGAACTTGGAGCGCCGTCCCGCCATTTGCCTCGGACCATTTCGAGGAGGTGATCCAGACTCTGTGATAGATTGTCGCATCAAAGGATGTACAAACGTTACGAATGTATGAGTGCACGTATGCTTGACTTATTCACCGAACAGCCTCCTCACACGCCGTAGAACGCTGTCCTTCTCCGGGTCATAAGGATGGTCTTTGCTTGGGATTTCGAGAACAGCGGGAAACGGATCTTGGAATCTGTCGACGGTGTCTCGAATTTGCTCCGCAATCTAGAGCCATATTAACATCATGATTCTGCCGTAGGCCCCTAGCCTTGTCATACATGCTGGTTTATTAGGACTATTCCAATGTCTTTCCGCTCTTTGGTATATCTGTTGAATGCTTGCTCAATCTGGGACTTTTCTGTCTTTGCGTCGCACACGAGAAAGTTCTTCTGAGAATCCGGAGGGTCGGTGATATGTCCAATGCCAGCAAGCAATAGACCGGTAACCGAGCTGGAGCAGGAGGGTGAGTCAAGAGTGTCAGCTGTCTGGCTGTTGGCGGGGAACTTACTCTTCATCCCCAATGACAGCAATGAACTGCCGGTCCTACACACAGCGATCATGAGTTGAAGTCTGGTTGCGGGAGGAAGCTGGGTACCTTGTATGCCGACACTGGAGCTGCCATGGTTGCGAAACGTTGGAGCTTGCGCTTTGAAAATAGATTGAAGCTTGCTCGAAGCTTAGAGATGTGAACGAGGTCCAGCTGGGCGCAGCAAGCGCAGTCTTGTACGACGTACCCAGTCTCGCCAGGTGCCATCAGCAGGCCAGTGACGTCTCCGATTGGCTGCCATTTCGTCATTGTTTACGTCCTCTTGCGCCCTCCTGCGCCCATGTCACCAAATTTCTTTGCTCACCTGCGTTCTGCATTAATCGTTCCTCTGTCCTTCAATCCCTTGCTGGAGATGTCGTCTGGGCCTTTGGACCACGCTCCACCGACACAATGCCCAAGTTTGTGAGGCGCCAGCCTCTCGCAGAACGTATCAAGGGCTACCTCAACCCCTACGACTTCCTCCTGTGGTTGTCGGAAGAGCTTGAGTCCAGTGGCTGGGATCAGCTGGAAAAGCAATGGGCCACGCCCATTGGTATTGCGTTGAATGTCATCTTTATCATCGCAAGAGCCAATTCAAAATCTAAAACGACCAGTTATGATGATGTGTTTGGCGAAATCCCTGGAGTGGCCTGGACCACCTGGCTGGTAAAACCTGTCGCGATCATGGAAGATCAATTGAAGACTAAAACTCTTGCAGGCGACCTTCATTGTCCACTTCCTGACGTTGGTCTGCGTCGTCAACGCCGCTTACACCTTCTGGCGAAAAAGACATTACCGCCTGTTCGAAACTTCCATCGACGATGTGCCGAGCACCCCTTCGGCAAAACGTGTCCGAGTCGATTCCTCCCCCATTTCCTCCTCGCCTCTACAGTTTCTTTCACGTATCATTGGGAGGGAGACAGCACAGTCAAGGGCACACCCTGATCCCTCAAGAGATGTCTGGGAAGTCGCCGTCTGGGATCCCTTGCCTATATCTCTACGCTTGTTTTGCTACTTCAGTCCCGGCCACATCCTCGTTTACTGGCTCTTCTTGCCTACTCTGCCTTCTGATCCTAGACCCAGCATGACTATTGCGACAGCCATGTTTGTAGCTCTGCTCCTCTCCGCGCAACTACTCTTCCTTCAATCAAGCTACTCAACTCAGGTCAAAGACTCTGCCGTGATCTCCAAAGAAGTACTGCATGAGTACGATACAAAATACGTCAGACCACGAACTCAACCCCTGTACCGGGATGTGGGCACTCAGTTCAGCGAGCAAGCCTCATACAGCCCGATTCGCGATGAGAAGTACAACAAGGTCGACGTCTACACACCCATGGTGGTCATCAATCGCGGTTTCAGACCAAATCCAAACCCCAACTACGCACAATATACGGATTTTGATGCAGCGTCATCTAGCTCTAATCTCCGACAACGAGCAACTACACCAGACTTCCGTTCACCAATTCACAATGCCCACCCTGGCACAGCTGTGAGACCTCTGGCTGCAATGCGTCAACCAAACTTTCGACCAACAGCCACCGGGGGTGAGGGCGGGAGTCTTGGTGTATACTCTCATGCCGCCTCCCCCCTCCGGAAAAGTGCGTCTGCCAATTTTTCCCGCGAGAATAGGATGATGAGCCCAGAAAAGCGTGGGCCAAGTCCAGACAAGAGAATGAGCGTGCCTGCTGTTGCTGCCCCTCAAAGATGGGCTCAGTTCCAGCCTGATAAACACCGAAGAGAGAGCGGTCGCTTTTGATAGACGTACCATCATCCGAGATGCCCCTTTTTTTGTGTGTAAATGCTTCCTGCAGAGCTCCCAGTCCCTGCCCTTGGGAAAATCCATATGAGTTGTTCCTTCCACAACTGCAGCATGACGCCTTGCACGGATGCTCCGCCGTCATGGCAACCATCTCTCCAGATACCACCTCTTCTTGTGAGGCGACGTCCTCACTACCAGGCTTGGTGCACAGACCAGCATATGGTATGAAGTACCTGTCATAGCAACCACCTCCGTTTCCCACGATGCCTATAAAGCATGCACATTCTTCGGATGACGTTTTACCTTCCTTTACATCTCGTCTCGTCCATAAAGTCTCATCCTCACTAGGAACATTCAAAGTCAAGAAGCAGGCCTCATCTGATAGAGAGGAAATTGGCCGCCTCCGCAATCAGCGCTCGTTACGACACACCACAAAGTTTTGCTACAATGAAACTATCTGTAACCGAGAGCTTGTGAAACAATCTGCGGCTTTCCACACTGACGCTACCAACGACAGGCGAGCACAACCTTCAACGGAGCGCAGCGGCGAAATCGAACCGTTATTCGACGGAGGGACTCGCTCCCAAAGAGGTTTTCGGTCGCATACATTGAAGGCTGTGCCAGAGGTCGATGCTTCGCCGATTGCCCCAGACCGGTCGAGGCGGAAAACTATCGCCTTTGTCGGCAATCGTTTAGATCAAGAAGTCAAACAAGTCAGAGCGGACACTACACCGGTGAAGAAGGCGCGCGGGGAGAGTTCTGCGACTTGCTCGGACATGCATCGTGTTGTCGACAGTGACGACTACCTTCTAGCACGAGGCGCAAACCCACGGACCGGAGTCGTTACACCAGGATCGCGCAGCGCTAGCAGCTCAATTGATCGGAACCAAAACGACTTATCCCGAGTCGGACGCCAAGTTCCCTCGAGTCGATGGCGACAACGAGGTGACCAATGGATCAGCATGGATCTAGATGAGCCCACGTCTCCTTCAACGTCTCCGACGGATAGACCTCGAGAGCATCAATACCAAGCCCTGAGGACTCCGCAAAAACTTGCGACCCGAGGAGAACGAGACCCATTGCTTGACCATGGCAAAATGCAGAGTGACCACCCGGTCAATCCATCCCACGGCCGTGGTGCGACAGACCAATTCCATCAAGATCACCTAGGGGCTAGTGTGAAGGCGGAAAGACTTCAGAGTGGAGTTGAACAAGCTATTTCGCAGGACAATCAAAAACTCAGCAGACCCATCAAGCGGAAGCCTGTTGGGAGTACTCCGGGAAGAAGTAATGCAGAGCCAGTTTCACATCCTCAGCGAGGTACCAATGAAAGTACGGACACCGTCCTAAGAAATCCCAAATTCAGTAGTGAGGTACGCTCCTCCTCGGCGCCTGATCATCCAAGAGGACACTTGTTTCCGCCTCATACTGTCAAGAAAACTCTACCGAGGACTCCCACTGATGGCTCAGAGAATGGAAGTCAAACGGCGGACGATTCTTTTTTAGGATTATCTCAGACGGGCCAGCAAGTAGACGTCCCAAGTTCAAAAACCTCAAACATCTCTGGCCGTCATTCTCTCGAAAAAGAACTACCATGTCTGCCGACGAACAATGGCCTATACCAGTCGACATCGGATATGACCCTATACCCAACGACCCCGAAGGGAGAGAACGAAGCGACGATGCCAATGAGGGAGTCTCCAACCGTGCGTATCGCAGCTTCCCAAGGGCCGAGAGATGGCGACCTGGTGTACCCATACATTCGAACGGCGAGGCTAACATACCCGGCCCCTCCCACAGCGAGACACATCAAGCGCCTAGGAGAAAGAGTGGTGCCATTCCCAATATACGACAACCCCCTGAGGCGCCTATCGCCATTGATGCGGACAACTGGTCCAAAAGTCGAGAGCCCAAGGGTCCCGTCCCCGCGAGAAATGATGGTTTCAAGGAGGACAAGACCGGGTCTCGTCCCGTTTCCGAATATCACTACCATACCCACAGACATATCCACCGGCGGACCTCATCCCCCAAGACCTCAGCCGCCCGATCAACGGTTGATGATGAATCGTGGCCAATATGGTTTCCGCTGGAGACCGCCTCCGTCAGACAGTACCGACATTATCACGAACACTACCATGAATATGTATACCGACACCATGATGTCGATTCCAATGCCAAGGATCAGGCCCAGAGCAATGACCCGTCCTCCACTGCCTACGAGAGCAGAAGGGATGTACGGCGTGCCCGGAACCGCGCCAACGTGCAATCGGTCAGACCAGATAGACATCGATGCCCGACGTCCATGGACGCCGTCGGGCATGCCGTCGGGCGTAGAGCTTGTGGCAAGAGAAGACCTTGGCGTAGCAGAGACGAACCCCATTCCGAAATCCCTAAAATCACGGCTACAGCCCTTCCAAGGCCCGTCAATGGTGAACGACCTACCACTAGAGCATGCAGAAATGAGTCCAGGCGGCTTTGGCCTGATGAGGAAATGCAGCAATTGCAATCATGGCTTCGTGGGCGTCAAGCTTCACAATACCGATAGTGTCACCCCTACGTCCGCCCTCCAGAAGAACGTCGACAAACCAAGCGAGGGTGCTAAGTATTTGCATCCCAAGGGAAGCCCAATTCCAAGACTACCCCAAGATAGATCTCCACAGCAAAATGGACAGATCCAGCACGAGATGTTGACTCTCTCACACAAGAGTGTCGACGTCGTCGATGAACGCGATCACTCCATTTGTTGTCCCGAATGCTGCAAACTGGATTGTCATGAAGGCTGCCTTGGACATCCCAGCTCCACATGCGCATCTACTCCTACAAAGAGTCTTTGGTTAGAAGCCCAAAGTTCAACCAGTTCCTGTGAACCAGAAACACAGGAAGAGGTAAAGGCCGCGGGAACCGAAGGGAAAGGCAAGTTCACCCGGCTGGCTGCTGTCAGGTCTGTCCTAAAGAGGTCGCCGAAAAAGGAAGAGCAATCCAAGTCTGGCAGTCATATTCAGGTGGCCTTGTCCAAAGTTGCTCCTGTTGAGTTGTCCATGCAGCCGCCGATTCCTGCAACATCCGCGCGTTACGACTCGGTCAAACGGTTACCTGACGCGGTAGCTGCAGCATTGGGCGCCATGGAGCTGCCATCGCATAAAAGAAGGAGAGAGGCACTAACGGCAGCATTCAGTGGCATCGGACCCTCACAACAAACAGGTTCTGCGTCACGCCCCATAATCCACAGAAGGCAGAGAAGTTCAAGCTTGCCCATTCTGGGAATTGGCGTCACTTCACGCCGTGGCAGTGGAAACGCTCAATATCAGCGTGCCACAAGCGGAGGGTCTTGGCTCCGCATCCCATCACCTCTTGGGTCCGTGATGTCTTGCTCTAACTCCAGTAAGGATGGCTCTTGGAGAAGCCGCAACGTCAGTACTGCGAGCATTACGACCTTCGAGCTGCAAGTTCCGAGTTTTGCATCTCTTACTGCCTGCGGCAGTTGTGCTGTCGTCGGGGATGTGCTTCTCATACCCCTTCAGGCTGCTAGGATGTGGATTCGCAACCACCCCCATATCCTGGCCTTTGGCAGGGAGGTGGTCCAAGGAGCTTGGATCATGACGCAACTCATGATGAGGACGGGATGGCGACTTTGGGCAACGGTATTTGTGTACTCCAAAACTGGAAAAATCAAGTTTTACGTCAGTAAAGGCGAAACGGCGGGTGGGTTTGTATTGGACCTGGCGAGGAGTCTGCTTTACTTAATCACCTTTGCTGCGGTGAGCACCCTTGTTATCAGGGTATTGGGGCTGGTGATATGGCTGTTGGGGATCATTGGATGGGTTGTAAGGGCTGTATTTTGGGTGTTGAAGGGTATTATGGGGGTTGGCCAGGTGAGGTAAAAGGGGCGATACGAGAAGACTGACGCATGGCAGAGACTGAGCAACTGTGACGAAAAGGATTCTGGTGGAGAGTCACATCATTATCCACGAAGCAGATAGATGTTTCGACAGAACAATAATATCAGCAGCACTGACTGGGTGCATTCCGATATGCCCTGGTAAATCAGTTCGTGGTGTTTTGACGATACCCGCTGTGACCATCTCGACTGCCTCGCCATCGTCCTCCATTCGTCAGACCGGAGTTCTGCCGGCACTCAAATTCCATTTGCAGTTAGCGTTAACCTCACTAGCCAAAGGCGGAAGGCGGCGAGGGGCGGACGGGGATTCCAGTTTCGCTGCAACGACTCAACCACCACCACACCGTCATCGTCGTCGTCGTTATAAGCAGTTTGGTACCAACAATCGATGGCTGTCATCCACCATGCGCGCTCCACAAGCGTCGTTCCTAGGCGTCCCCCCGGAAGACAGTGAGCACATCTATGCTGCTCTTTTCGACAGCCTCGCCCTCTCTCCACCATCGAGCGGCCTTGCTCCGTCTCACGCCCGAGCCCGAGCTGGAACAGACCCGGCTGACCATGAAATCTTTTCGCAGAACGTTGAGACTGATCGAGGCGCGACGGCGCCGGCTGTCAAACCTGCAGTAGATCTCAATATCTTCAAGTCTGTCACCAGGTCCATGCCGAGACGCATGCCGCATTGTTCAGCCTTGCAGCTTTCAGACTTGATACGGACAGAGAACACGTCGCCTTCACATAGCCACATATTCTTCCGACCTTGAATCGTGTTCGGTGTCTAAGCATCACCATGCCCTTCCTATCAGAGTGGTCGGCCCTACTCCGCCTCGTCATGCCTCCTCTTTCCTGCTTTGAAATTCGCGACATCAAAAGCAGCCTCCCACATGACGAGATGCTCGAGATCGATAATGTCCTAGACCATAGCAGCATGGCCGAGGTTGACGTTCTCTACAGCCGGGGCTCCTGGGTTCTTCCTCCGCCCATGAGGCCTAGAATAAAGCCTTAGCTTAGCTTGTTTCGCGACATACTCACCGACGTGAGGCAATATTGCAGGAGGACTATCTCAACTCCGCTGTCTGACCCGCATACTCCATGTAATCACACTTCGAGAGGGTCTGTGCTAACCTTCTCCCGACAAAAACTGGTTGCTATAAAAGATGACTCGAATTTCGCCTTCCCTATCATAATTAGTTGACGGAACAAATGTCGTCTGCAGCTTCTAGTGTCCCTCGTATGGGGACTCGAGTGATTGGGCTGATCTCTTTCTCGAGCGGAGAGGAAGAACGAGAAGAGGACATACTCCTGTGTGACAAACATGTAAGTCTAAAGATGACAATCGGACCACGAATGCCATCGAGTATTTGACACTCAAACCCTCGGAATGCGGAGTCCTCAAGAAATCCCAATTGGGCTGGCGCTGGACGCATGCAACGCTTGAGAAGCTGGGCTAGAAAGGATCCGTTTTTGACACATTGAGGCGCGATATGAAAAGAGTTCTCTGGAAACCCATCGAGCCTGTGACCGGGAGCCTGAAGCAGCCAGAGGCTATTTCGCTTCACTGGGCCAGATGGCACTCTTGGGGCAGATCCGAGCAGATTACCTCCCATCCAGATCATGTCTGCAACGCCCACCTATGGACGAAAGGTGACTATCCGGCAGCACTTCAGATACAATCTGTGTCTCATATTTGGCGAGCGTCGAAACCGTCGAACTGGGGCAAAGCGACATCATGAAGGGTGTCCTGCTCAATGATTTGAATTGGGAAATAGCTCGGTTCTCACTGCAAATGATGTTCAGATTCGACAAACGGTAAGGGCGCGTATTTGGTGGTTTCTTTTGTTTGCGCCATTTTCAGGATCGATCGGTAACAGGCAAACAATGTCACGCGGGTTTGACTTCAGACCTCTGTTTGTTTGTTGGTTCTTTGTTCCGTTGAGCCGAATCTTCGAAATAATGGTCCAGTGGAGGAATCAGAATCTCGATTCACTGTTTGCAGATCCCCAAGTTGTTCACGTTATTACAGCACTACGATTACGGTAACGCAAGATCCTAAAACATTAGTTATTGATGAATCCTTCTTCTGCTGATGCTCGCTGTGCCCTACTGTACAATGACATGGCATTCCCGCCACCGCTAGTAAGCTCACCTTGCGGAAGAAGAGCAGCCATGAGACGGAGGGGAAGTCAAAATGTGAAGTTGAGGGGCATAAACAAGACAAGACGGGAGGAGAGGAAAAGAGAGGAAGGGAAAGGAAGTCGGTCAAAAATCCACATGTCAAAGGAGAGGGGAGGGGGGAATGTGTGTTCTCTAAGACTACGGATATAGAGGTAGGTACTTATGCTTGATACTTGATATTTTTGTACTCGTCTGCAGCATGCATGTATATTCCGACTATACGGCTTTTTCTTCTTTTTGGAGAACACCATGCCTTGGAAAATTACTCTATCCACTTAGTTTTTACTACCTAAGTAACCGGAACAGAACAAGAGGAATATATGGACGCGCCCAGACCCTCGTCGTAAACAGATATGGGACGGGGGTTCATTCGACATCTCCTCCTCTCTTGCTCTCTTGCTTCTCCTTTTTGCGCCGTGTATGTACGTGCCGAGATAGTAGTGATGCTACTTGCTGCTCCTTGTCTTTGTCCTTGTTCCTTGCCTGTGTATCCGACGGTGCCGGCGGGGCGAGCCAATCGATTCCCATCCGGCCGGCGGATTATTGCACATACGAGACAAGTACGGACAGGAGGAACACGGGGCAGCCACGGGGCTAGTACATCGGGCATCAAGCATCAAGCATCAGGCACTAGGAATTAGGCATCAGGCATCGGGCATCAAGCAATCGGGCATCTTTCGTAAGAATACTATGAAAGCCGGTGCCATTCCTCGTCATGGACAGTACACGTACCGAAGAAATCACAGGAGATGCGGATGGGGATGGGGAAATAAACTGCGAATGTGGTGGAAATGCCCGCCGGCTTTTGCTGACAGATGATGCCAATGCCAATGCTGATGCTAATGCTAGTTGAAGTAGGTGGGTGGGTGGGTGGATACATAAAATGCCATTATGCATGCATGTGGCCCCCAAATGTGCTATTGCCCGCCCTGGCGCCGTGTTGTGCTGAGCTGTGCTGTGCCCACACGGTGCCTTTTGAGCAGTCATAGGCAAAATGCCATGCCACGCTATGCATGGTGCCGATCGAAGTGTGTGAATATGTACATGAAATTCAAATATCCAACCGCCCAAGCAACGCCAGGGGGACCCGTGTAAAGTCCACCCTTTCCGGTGTCGTAAATGCAGTTTGGTCATCACAAAGAAAGAACATAAAATGTTCCAGCCAAACAACTCTTGATGGCTCAAGTCAATGGCCCAAGAGATTTTGCCACCCGACCCGCTCGTACACGACGACGGCCAGACAGCTGGCTACGACGACCTCGAGAGGGATTCTCTCCTCGCGGTGCCCTATATTTCCATTCCCATGTCCATGTCCATGTCCATTCCCGCTCCCGTTCATGTGGTTCCCTACGCTTGGTCCGCCGACGACATTGGCCAGGAACACCGTCAAGGCGCCCAAGACCTCGTGGTCCCGTCGTTGCTTGTACACGGCTACGAGCGTCCCCTTTGAGTCTTCGAGCAGGAGATTCCCATTCGCCAGGTCAAAGCCGTCGTCTACGGCCGGCATTGAAAGGACCTGGCTGTTGTGGCTTGGAGGCGAGTGCCATTTGTAGCCCGGCAATGATAACGAGGAGCCGGTTAAGATGTACTCGCGCTTCCAGCCGCACCGGGCGATGGTATATTGGGACCGAATGTCGGGAATGGTGTGGTGGAGTTCTTGCGGCGCCGGGGGAGAGTGGTGCATGTCGGGAGTGATGTTGTAGACGGTCAGTGAGATGGACATTCGAGTGAAGCCTTGCCAGCCCTGGTACTTGATCTCCGCCAAAGGGTATGGTTCGTCCTTCTTGAAGTTGGTCGAGCTCTTTTTGGAGTTGGTTCTCGTGAGGACATCGACGGGGTCTGCACTAGGGTTGGCGAGGATATGGCTGACTGTTTCGTGCGGAGGCGTCAGTGGCGGCCTAGTGACCTCGCTTCCCAGCGGAGGAACTTCCCTGCCTCGCAGCCACTTGTGCTGTGGGTGCCGCTGATGGGCAACGCCGGGGAAGATCTGAAACGAAGGCGGAAGAAATGGCTTCTGCTTCCACCACTTCATGTCACTGGTCACAAACACCGGTTCATGGCGGGAAGTCGGTAGCGTCGAAAGATCGTCGGGAGAGCCCCTATGGACAATCCCAGCATCGACATCGACGACGCTCAGATCGAGGTTCTGCGGGCAAACCAGTCCCAAGGTCGTGCTTTTGAAGATTTCGAATCGGCGGACGGCGCCGTGCCACTCGTGTTGGAACTGTTCGTGTTCGTCGAATTCGAAGAGCTGCTGCTGCTGCTGTTGTCGCTGCTGGTTGATCGACTCGAACTCTCGCTGCTCTGACTCGCTGACCTTTCGGCGATTGTCGGTCGTGCGTGTCCTAGCCATAGGCAGTCGTGCAGCGGATCTGGCTCGAATGTATTCGGCGGTCGCGAAGGTTCTTGTTTCGACTTTCGCTTTTTGGACAGTTTCTTCTCCTTGGGATGACACGGACAACCCCCAGGATAGTAGATCTCCCGTAGAGTGATGGTCGTGTAGCGTCTTCGGCCATTGACGACGATGTTAGCCTCTTCCTCCGGGAACAACGCATTATAGGAAGGGAGCGAGTCGGCGTCAGCCATTTTGCGGCTGTGGGTGAGAAGGCTGAATTCGATCTCTTCAGTGTCTGGGAGAAATCTGGGGAAGAGAACAAATTCGAAAAAGGGACGATTCCTGGACACCTGGGGCTGACTGAGGGATATAATAGCAACGTGACCCTGACTGACCTTTTACAATATAAAGGGCGTCAAGGACTCAGGATCGTAATAATTGTGGATAAACACTGAAAAAAGGGTCCCGGTGTTTTGGTTGCCGGAACGCAGACGGTTGGCTCGGCCGTCTCGGATGCAGACGGAAGGCTGAGCGCACCTGGAAACTCGAAATGCTCAGGCCTGTGAAGGCGCCCCCGCCAGATGGTGGCTGAGACTTTTGCTGATGTGGAGTGCTGCGTCAGCGTTAGACGGCTGCTGCTCCTCGGACTGCTTTTGGAAGTTGTGCGTCAGAAATTCGGGGCCGCCCTGGGCCTAGAAACGCGTCGTGTATCGCCTTGTCCACGGTTTGCACGTTTGTTTGGTTCAGGAAGTCTGAAGGACTGGCGAAAATTGCGGTGAGGTTATGTAAGACTGTTGACGCTGAGACATGCATATAACAAAGCAATTAAGTGTGCTTTGCGCGCGGAAATCATCTCGAGCCAAAAGACACGTCCTGTTTTATATATATGTATTGCATGCAAAGCATGAGACAGGAATCTGCCTTGTCCTCGAAAGATGCCTTGCACTTTCTTGGGCAGAGTCACGCGATTGCAGATCAGCTGGAGCATTATGGTTAAGAGCATGAGGTACAATGCAGTCTTCTCACCCAAATCCGGGGTAAATTTAGACATACGACCGTCTCATGTTCTGAACCAACTCGCTCCGATTCGCTTCTGCCCAGACAGAGCCCGCGTACCCGTATTCTTGCGGTTTTCGGTGCCCAGTCAGTTGCCGAGGCATCATAGAAAGTGCCAGGCTCTTGGTGGCGGCCGTCAGCCAATGATTTGCGGGCTTGGACGAGGACATACGAGCCTCGTCCAACAAGACCAAGAGGTGGACTTCGTCAGCTGTGGTATGATGTTCGGGCTCCTCATGACCGGGAGCTTGGAAGTCGAATAGGTTGGAAATTGTGGCAAACGTCCACCCCGCAGGATCAACTGATCATGTTACAGATGGACGATTAAGAGTAAGCCCACACATAATTGTCGGTATGTGCGTACTTGTTAGAATGCCTTCTGCGCGGTTCGCTACTTCAAGCAAATAGCAGTCTGGTCCGCATTCCCATTTGCGCCCATATCAATCGAGATTCAAAATTGCGCCAGAATATTTTCAGTGACTGTAGTAAAGTGGACCAGCTTAGCACATGCCTCTCCGGATTGCCGATTGCCCGCAGGCTCCGAGGCCGCTTTGCAGCCATATAGATCTCTCTTTGGTTGTAAAGTGCGTCTTCAATTGAAGAATTTCGGGCTCTTTGACATTCTGTGGTTGTCTGTCAAGGAGATGACGTTCATGCCCTGAACGAATGCTGCCGTGATCTAACCCGCTTTTGAATCGTGGTCATCGTCCTTGCAAACTCGTCACCTGAGCGCCCGGCTAGTGCCGGGTCGTTGCTTGCTGCTCTGTGGAAGTTGAGTTTGGAATTGTGACAAGCGTCGGGCCAAAATGTCACTCCCAAGTATTTGTGTTCCGGTAGTGGGATCGAATTGGTTGTCTTCCCTGATCCTCTGGTATACTCGATCAACGACATACTCATTCCAATGGGCATAATTACTCTGCAGTTTCGCTGAATGTCATCGCTTTCAACTGGCGAAGCTCAGTGACTTAGCCTGCTCTTTCGTGCACTCGATCTGCTTCGCATGCACGCCACGCCATGCCTTGTTCTCATCGAACTCAGAGCCTGTATGAATCCTCATTTGGGCCACGCGCTTTGGCCTAGATTGAAGAGTGATGGCGCTTCGAGTCGACCTTTACGAGGTTCTCAATAGTCCGACGAATCTACTAGAATTTGCCTTCATTTCGCTTTTGGGTTTGCAGAGATATTGAGGGTGGTTGCTGCCTGTTTTGCCCGCAGAATGAGTTGCATTGGTATTCTGCAGTGGCCCTAAGTACGGATGTAACACCTCAAGTCGAATCCCGGCGGGTCTGCACTGTTGTGACCGAGGCCGTATAATATGGCATTGTGGATAACGAAGAAGGAAGAGACTACGATCTCAGCTGAAGCCCAGGGCTGCTCCTCGGGTTCATAATTGTCGCTATCTTCGTTCTAATAGAGGCCCAAGGGGAGCAAAGAGCTAGGAAGACGGGCATAGACTGGCCGACTTCTCAGGGGATCGTCTTCCGGGTGGAGCAGAGACACAGGATCGGAGGTGGGAGCTAGAGACGTCTTCCGTACCTACACACCATGCAATTTCACAGCATCAAGAAAAGGCGCGTTCATTAAAATAATTACATCGCGAGTTTAGTGTTATATGCGGAGGACTAGTGCTGACTAGCGCATGTTAGTGGTGCTAGTAGTTATGTTTCAGAAAGGCAGGTCTGACGAGGTTAGGCATGTGCCCAATCAGCATCGACCAGATTTTTTAAAGCATCTTCCGACAGCTTGAATTTCCGAAGCTCCTTTTCTGTTGTGAACGACTTCAATCTTCTGTATGAACATGTCCTGACCCAAACGACCTGGGAAGCGACTCTCTCTCAAATAACAGAACTTCTTCTCCCAACTGACACTTTCAACACTTTCTCCGACGCCCATGGTATCGTTGCCAAGTCAATCATGAGACAAACAGCTACGAGGTTTCTCATTAGAGCTCCGCGACCTCGTTTACCAGCTCATCCATCACTCATCCGTCCTCGAATCTCTAATCTTTCGTTTCGTAGACATGCTTCCACCTCTGAAGAGAAATCAACCTTTACCTCTCGACTAGTCGATGTACTCTACGGCGCCACGCTTGTTTTCGGCCTTGGCATCATCTACTTCTATGTTACCGACACTCGAGCAAGCATTCATCGTTACGTTGTCATTCCAGCTCTGAGGCTGGTATATCGAGATCCCGAAGATGCCCACCACGCTGGCAATGCAATTCTCAAATCACTTTGGGAGCTCGGCCTCCATCCACGTGAACGAGGGGATCCCGATCAGAAGCATGATCTTGAAGTCGAGGTCTTCGGGCAACGTCTCCGGAATCCAATTGCCACTTCTGCAGGTATAGACAAGCATGCCGACATCCCGGACGTGCTGTTTGACATCGGTCCCGCAATCATCGAGATTGGAGGAACGACTCCGTTGCCGCAAGAGGGCAATGCAAAACCTCGAGTTTTCCGTTTGACTTCACAACAAGCTATGATCAATAGGTACGGATTAAATTCCGAAGGTGCCGACCATGTGGCCATGAGACTACGAAATCGGGTGAGAAAGTTTGCCCACTCCCTTGGCCTTGGTGACGATGAGATTGCGGAAAAGGCTGTGCTTGATGGCATCGCAGGCGTCCCACCGGGCAGCTTGATCCCAGGCAAATTGCTCGCGGTGAATATTGCCAAGAATAAGTTCACTCCCGGGGATGACGTCGAGGCTGTCACCAACGACTACGTTTACTGTGTTGACAAACTTGGGCCGTATGCTGATATCCTAGTCGTCAACGTTTCCAGTCCCAATACTCCCGGTCTTCGCTCACTGCAACAGTCTGACAAGCTGCAAAAGATTCTGAGTGGGGTAGTAAATGCAGCTAGATCTGTAGAGAGGCAAACGCGGCCATATGTGATGGTTAAAGTGAGCCCGGACGAGGATTCAGAATCGGAGATCGCGGGAATATGTGACGCGGTCTGGGCTGCTGGTGTGGATGGAGTCATCGTGGGCAACACTACCAATCGTCGACCTGAGCCTCTTCCTCACTTGAAAGACCTATCTCCGCGCGAGCAACAAAATATGCTTGAAAAGGGAGGGTTTTCTGGGCCCCATCTCTTTGAAAATACGGTTGATTTGGTGAAAAAGTACAGGAAGCTTTTGGCAGAGAAGCCTGCATCTGTCAATACGTCAAACACTTGGACGAGGAGGAAAGGGGCGCTGGAAGCTGAAGCGGATCGGATCAAGGCCACTCTGGAATCCAGCTCTCAAGAGCCCAGCCCTGCCAGCGAACCCATCTCGGACTCCGACAGAATCGCGGCATCCGTTGAGACTGGTGTTGTGCCCGTTTCTGGCATGCTTGAACAGCGTGGCCCGGAGGAGCAACCTCCGATGAACCCTCCAACAGAGCACCAATATGACATACCACAGGCGGAGACAGGAACCGCCGAGGTCGAAGAAGCGCCCGCATCTGGTTCAGAGGTACGTTTGGTGGAAGAGAAAAAGCAGCTGAAGTCAATTCAAGAAGCCATTGAGCGACTTCCTCCTGTGACGCAGCGTGACGCCCTCGACCGACTTGAATCTGGTCCAGCACACATGGAATCCGTCGATCAGCCGAAGGTAATTTTTGCAACTGGCGGAATTACCAACGGCAAACAAGCTCTCGACGTCCTCAACGCGGGCGCCAACGTGGCCATGGTTTATACTGCCTTGGTGTACGGAGGCATTGGTACGATATCACGAATCAAGGACGAGATGCGGAAAGAAATGAAACGGCAAGACGAAGAAAAGCGCGCGAAGGCCCAAAAATAGAGCGGTAATTCTGAACCCTATTCTGGCCGAGCGAGTTCGAAAGTGATCAATTTGGTGGCCATTCCATCCTCTTCAATCAGCTCCTCCGAGACTAGGTGAAACCCACATTTAGCCAAGATTTTGGCACTTGCAACGTTTCTGCCATCTATATTTGCTCTGAGGACTTCGGGCACCGTTGCAACCCTATCATCGGACCTCGATCCCACGTCTTCCCCCTCGATCATCACTTCTTTTCGAGGCAACTCCCACCAAGCTTGAAGCCATCGCTGAAGTGCTTCTGTAGCATACCCTTGACCCCAGAACTCTGTGCGCAACATATAACCACACTCGGGTGGTTCCGAGATATGACAGCCCAACACACCGATTGCCTTGCCGGGGCCCGCCCGCTCCTCAATGGCAAAGTTGAAAGTGGTGGCATCGTTTGGCGGAAGATATCTGTTCATCCATACTTGTGTGGCCTCCTTATCAGTGTCGACTTTCCCGGTCGAAGTCCACTTCATTACTTCAATCTCTGTGCGAAGGACATGGAAGTCTTCTAGATCTGATTGTTGGATGGGTCGAAGGACCAAGCGAGCAGTGGTCATAGGCGACGCAGGGACCGGAAATTCTGGGCGTGTGGTTTTCATCTTTTACAGCTTCGATGGAGTTGGCGAGAACATCAAATGGGAGGTCACAAAAAATAGACACTTGAGTAATATCATTAAGATGTTAGATAACTCGTTCGCAGCCGCTCTACAAGTACCTAGCTCGCTAGGTAGCGAGATAGTTCGAGACTCGGTGCAAGAGCTTTTCGTGACTCGGCCGTGGTCTGGCCAATGGGAGAACGTCTGGTCAACACCTTGGCATTCGGCAAAGTTGCCCTTTCACCGATAAGCGATAAGCGAATTTCGAGTTTGCGAAATTTTGTGCCGCCCGCATTCGAACTTTTGTAACTGCCACGACCTCTTTCTCCCCCTTTCATTGCCGCCTTGAACGCTTTTCGGCAAGATGAAGACGACTTGGAAGGACATTGCACCGGTTCCAACTTCCCAGGAATTCATTGACATCGTTCTCAGCCGGACCCAGCGGCGGCTGCCTACTCAGATTCGTGCGGGCTTCAAAATTAGCAGAATTAGAGGTTTGTATCATGTTTATGGTTTGTGTGTGAAGGAGAGAGCCCGGCTAAAAAAGATTTACAGGTTTCTATACGCGAAAAGTCAAGTTCACCTCCGAAACGTTCTGTGAAAAGCTGCAAGCTATCCTCGAAGGATTTCCTCGACTCCAAGACATTCATCCTTTCCACAAAGACCTCCTCAATACCCTTTACGATGCCGACCACTTCAAAATCGCTCTGGGCACGCTATCAACCGCCAAAAGGCTGATAGAAACAGTGTCCCGGGACTATGTCAGGCTCCTCAAGTATGCCCAGTCATTGTTTCAATGCAAATCCCTCAAGCGGGCTGCTTTAGGCCGAATGGCCACAATCTGCAAGAGACTGAAAGACCCTCTCGTGTATCTGGAGCAGGTGCGACAACACCTCGGGCGTCTCCCAAGCATAGACCCAAATACTCGAACACTTCTCATCTGTGGTTATCCGAATGTCGGGAAATCCAGTTTCTTAAAGTCGATCACTCGAGCCGACGTTGACGTTCAACCCTATGCTTTCACCACCAAATCGCTCTTTGTTGGACATTTCGACTACAAATATCTCAGATTTCAAGCCATTGACACACCCGGTATTCTCGATCACCCACTTGAGGAGATGAACACAATCGAAATGCAATCCATTACAGCAATCGCGCATTTAAGATCCGCCATTCTGTATTTTATGGATCTGTCAGAACAATGTGGCTACTCGGTCTCTGCGCAGATGGCGCTTTTCAACTCAATTAAACCACTTTTTGCCAACAAGCTTGTTTTCATTGTGGTGAACAAGACCGACGTGATGAAGCCGGAGGACTTGGACCCCGAAACACAGCAACAATTGAAGGATTTGCTGACCCAAAACTCCAACACTGAGCTTCTTCGATTGTCGTGCGTCACAAACGAAGGAGTTCAAGAGGTAAAGAACACAGTTTGTGATCGATTGATTGCAGACCGTGTGGCGGCAAAACTAAAGGCTGGACAAGCGGCACAATCTGCCACCGCAGATGCGCCAACAGGCCGTCTGGGTGATCTTATGGCCAGAATACATGTGGCCAGACCCTTAGAAGGCACCGTAATCGAAACTCACATCCCAGAAGCCGTCAGAAATGGCACCCACAAGAAGTACGACAAATCAGATCCAGAAAGAAGAAAATTAGAGCGCGACATCGAGGAAGAAAATGGAGGTGCAGGCGTCTACAACATTGATCTGAAGAAATTCTACGATCTCGCCGTCCCGGAATGGAATCATGATAAGATTCCCGAATTCTTCAACGGCAAGAACATTGCTGACTATGTCGACCCGGATATTGAGCAGAGACTTGCGGAGCTAGAAGCTGAGGAGGAGAAGTTGACGGCAGAAGGATTCTACGACGAGAGCGACAGCATGGAAGATGAAGATGACGCAGAAATTCGCATGAAGGCAGACCTTATCCGCAACAAGAGGACGCTCATGATGAACGAGGCACGTATGAAGAAGAGCTTGAAGAACAAAGCTCAGATACCACGGGCGAAGAAGACGAGGACACTTGGGCAAATGGAGAAGCATTTCACCTCGATCGGCCTTGACGCATCAGCACCTGTTGACCGAGCGAGAGCGGAAATTCGCAACGCCAAGCCTGCTTCAGTCGCCGGCGACCAGATGGAGCTCGACGAAACAGCCTCTATGAGACTGGCGAAGTCTCTGTCCAGAGCCCCGAAGACCAACAGGCTCACTGATGGATTGGGCATGAGTGCAACAGGGGTGACGGACCCAGTGAAGCGGGACAAGGCAGAGCGTATGGCGAAGCTGAGCCAGCGGAAGATGAACCGTATGGCCAGACAGGGCGAGGCAGATCGACATGAGACAGCTTCATTGCCAGCTCATTTGATCAAGGGCAAGAGGAAGATGGGCAAGACGCGATCGAGATGATTGAACGAGAGGGGAGTTCTGGAGGTGGTATTGATTCGGCGCTAGCCGTTCTGGTTTATGACCCGGCGCTGTTGAATTGTCAAGGGCAACATGAAGATGCAACGAGGTTTAAGACGAGGAGTTACTGGATGAGAAAGTTTCATGACATCGGTCGGCATCCTCGTGGCCCAGAAACGATCCCTGTTCTTTTCTCAAAGAAAATATTTTTGCTGCCACCGTACAAGAGGTGACCAGGACGGCTGTCACACATGTTTGTCGTCTCTCGTGTTTGATGAGTTGCAACAGTTGATGTGTGGTGTGTCCCGTCCCTGTTATCTTGCTTGTCCCGTTTCTAGCTGGCACTCCCTTTGTCGTTGACGCATTCGTTCGACTCGTCTGTGCTTAGCAACGGAGTTGAACTTGGAATATTGATCATCTAACCGACACGACTCGGGAAAAGAAGTGGACTCATCCCGAGTGGATTTCTCAGCCGCCATCGTGTTCGGCAACGTTTACTCCGTATTGCCGGTTAATCAACTCTGACGTCTTAGCAATTTGGCTTCCATGGCTTCATCTACTACTGCAGCTTAGATTTGCATTTCACTCCCTTGTAATAGTAGGCCTTTGATGATCCCTCTGCCTTCTTGAACGTTATTTCGCCACAGACACTAGTCTAAACTCCGTTGCCAACGTTCCTTCCACCATATTTTCCTGGGCTATTTGGGCCTACTTGGCGCTGTGACGCCTTTGTTCACGCCTTTCACTCCAGATAGACCTGTAACCTTTTCTGACCCCAAATTGGTTCAATACGCCACCAAGAGAATTAAGCAGCCGTAGCATTTCCCTCAACTCATCCAAAAGCATCCAAAGATGCTGTTGTTGAGACATCAACTTTTGAATCTGCCGCACTCTGCTTCAACCATGACTCCACTTCAGCTTGCTCCGTACTTGATCTCACGCAGCTCTCCTTGCGATGGTCTGTGCTTCCTTTACTGCTGTTGACAAGGTCACGAGATCGCCACTGTGACAAACCACCTGAGTCGTTAAGCATTTCAACTGCGGCACCTACCTCAACATCGCTGTTCTCGCAGACCTATAATAGGATAGCGACAGAATAGGAGGTTTCAGGAATGGCCTTCAAATCAGAGGCCAAAGTGTGTATAAACAGACAGAGTCTCTCTGAATAGCCAGGGGGACAGAACATAATCAAGCAGATAGATCCAAACCTGTTCTTTGCACTACTACCATCATAGAGAGTAGCTTGCTGAAACTTTGAAGTTTGATGTCAAATTTAGCGCCAACTAACTCGGCCGCTCTCAAGAGACCATTCGTACAGCGCTTCCAAGTTGTGATCCCAAGGAGGACGCTCCTCAAAGAGGCGGAAAGTGCTTTGAGAAGTGGAATCGCTCCTCGACTGACCAATGAGGAGCGCCTCGCTTATGAATTTAGTGCTGCTTGGCATGTTGAAGGAACCTTATTGGGTACACGGGTAGACTGTGCCAGGAAAGCCCCAAGGATGGTTCGTCAGGAAGCGCGTCCTTGAATCATTATTTTAAAGCGGTTGATGCCAGTTGCGCACAGAACAAAGCCGCTTTCCTAGGCCGGACATGATCGGGGCACGGCCGCTATTCAGCCCAGCGAGGCTCAGACCCCCTTTCCCCACCGCGGCGCTCCCAGTAGGGCGATAAAGACCGCAGCAAGTGCAATGTCAAAGATGAGACAGCGTCGACCTCTGAGGCCTGATCTTGGTCAATGGGCAAGGAAGATAGAAGGAACGAAATTGGCTCTGTTCTTGTTTAAATAGCCCTCCTAAAGCCCTCATTTTACAGACGCGCGGCTAGGTTATTCGGCGCGTTCGGCAATGATATAATTCTGAAAATTGAGACAGCATTACAACGAGTACAATATAGGCACTTAAGTTCTAGTGCAAAGGGGGATGTACTGTTACACGAGCCCACTGTCGAAGGCGTAGTAGTATTTTAGGAGCGCATATACAATTGAGACAGTGCGCTGGTGGTTTTGTCGTTTTGCCTTTACAGTCTTCCCGTATGACACCAGCGTCGTGGCTTGGACCTGGGGTGTCCTCCAGCATGTCATGGACTGTAAATTATATTCATTGTCTCCAACATTATCATCACGGTATCTAATTCCAATCAACAAGCCAAATTTAGCGTGTCGGAAGGGCTATACTTATCGACATCCAGGAGTCAGGAACCAGCCAAATGTTGCGAGCTCACGGTGTTATAAATGGCAAAATTCCTTCCCTCGATGTCAACTCAAAGTTCGTATCTCTGCCCAAGCTTTAATAAGTTTTTGTTGTAAGGCAGGTTAGAAACCCTGATGTTCTTATTACTATGTTTTTCGAGCGCCTTCCAAAAAGCGTCATAATCTACCCCTTCTTCTTTCAATATCTAACTCGACTTGTCTTTGCCCAGGTCTCTTCTCTCCCCGATTTTGGGACTCGGATCACTGATGAAGAGTTGAACGCCACTAACTCGCCTTGTTGGATTCGAAGAGCGTGATTTTTTCCAGCAGCGCGACATAGTGCAAGCATTTTGGAACACTGCAGGAGCCTTGAATCGAGCTAATATCAAATGCTTCGGACCGTGCATAGGTATTAATTGGGACTTACCACCTGCAATAGAATATCTGAGGTCCCCATTCAGTCAGCCTTGGTATGGAACTACTCAACGTTGTGATTTGCAGCCAGTATATTTTCTTCATTACCTTTGTTTCAGCAAATAGGGGTTTTTCACCGTCACGCAGATTGCATGTATTGAAGGCTCTGGTGCCGTCTGAGACTACCAGAACATCGACTGTCTCTACAGTTGTCTGTCTACCCCTTACCGAGTATTCATGCTTCCATTCTATCTAGCCTCATTTCCGCAAAGGATTCTCACCAACTTGCGGCTACGATAGATCTCTATACTAATGGAATTAACGCTCGATGCGACGATCCACGAAACCTCTGTCCATGTTCCGCAAACATTAATGCCTATACAGTCAAGTCAGGAGGCTCCAACAACGACGGCCCCTATATAGCCTTCTGTCTCCCATTCCCTGATCTCAATGTAGGGGTATTTTAGGGTCAATGCCTTCTCGTCCACCAGCGGAGAGGTATGATCTGGGGTTGTGGGGTTATGGGTAAAAAAGGTATTGTCTATTCCTAGCAGAGTTGGTATAGATCTGATGTGAACTACTAGCCGAGACATTCATACACGAGATGTTTCATATCGACCGAGTCTCAAGCTTGCCCCCGAAACTACATGTTACCGATCTATGGGTCCAGATCAGGCCGAGTCGGTGGGTCCAAGTTTATGAATCTCAGATTTCTAAAGTGCTCGCAGGGACGGTCAATACCGGATCATGGGTGATGCAAACCGCAGACAATCTGGTGAACTTTGCAATGTCACTTATTATCAGGCTGTTCTCAATGGAGAGTACCCGTCGGGGCCATTTGCACAGAATATACCGATAGGAACTCCATTCAGACATCAACCCTATTCCATATTCGATGTTTAGGACAGAGCGCTAAAAATTTCAAATGAATCTGCCCTAGATCTCATTGCACAGACGATTTCGCCAGCATCTGCAACTTGCACGGTAGAAGTTGCAACGACATTCGCAGCAATGAGTGCCCCGTTCGCGGTAAGGACAGACTATCCTGCGGACTACCAATCGTCACTTAGCTCCTGGATGTCAACTTGGGATGAATATTGGTCAACCATGGAGGCGGCATCGACGACGACTCCCGCTGGCACGGTCATCTCCAATGAACAACCATACGTTGACCTTCCACCCCAAGCCGACGGGGTTGATTGGCTTCTGCAATTCACCGTGAGCCAGAAACCCACAAACTGTGGCTGGTGGGCGACAATTGACACGCCCACATACACTTCGATGCTGAACTAGGTGCTGAGTGGCTATAAAGACTCTCCGAGCAATATCACACATGCTTGTGTTGTGTATAGCTACAATGTCACGGCGTAGGTGACAAATCCGGCGATTTCGGAGGAATATATCAGTTGTGGAAAATTTTCATGTGTTGACACATAAGTACAGCCCCCCCTCTTGATTTTCCCGATCTCGCCATTGCAAAAGAAAATGGATTGTGAAATTAACGTCTTGGACTGGTCCGTAGGGACACAAGCGGACTTGGTGTTGGTCGTCTTTAGACGGTGCTTGGATGTGCTCATGGTCTGCGAACCCATCTAATAAGGAGAGCTACAACAAGCCGAGCAATTGTCAAAGCTGTATGGCCATCACTGATATTCCAATGGGAGGACAGATTGGGCAGCCTCAGAAGAGAGGGTTGGGGATATCATGGGTTGTTTGAATTCGCAGAATTTTGGCTTGGGGGCTGGCTGTATCTTTATGGTGTCAAGGAAGCTGTTATTTTAGGCGTATTATTGGCATCGGCGTTTTCATAGGGTTTATGTTTACCTTGAAGGCTCTGCCTCGTCCTAATGTGTACAACTATCTTCAATCACCTGCCACCTGCCCTTGTCACCATGCACCAATGCAACGGCTCTGGTGTGCATGTACAACAATACCGGCCGCCTCCGCCGCCGGCCTCCACCCGTGATGCGATATGTTAACCAATGGAAAATGAATGTTCTATATGAACCCCTTGAATTTGTGAGATGTGGAATACGTCAGTGGTGACGGACGGAGGAGGAATTTGACCTGTGACGACTGCTGTGTGGCGGAGGTTGTAGTGATTTCACATTAGGGCCCAGTTTGGCGGTAGTCTTGAAAAGTCGATTAATCTGGAGGTAGGATCGGCTGTAGGTGAAGTTCTCTTTGATCAGGCATGGGATCCATCGCAACCAGGTGCTCATCAAGTAGGATTTCTGTAGAAGAGGAAAGTTTCTGACCGCTATCCTAGCCCCATGCGCTAGTTTTATTTCTCATATAAATTACTAGGCGCTAGGAATATTGTATAACTATAGTGTAATTTTGTTCATGGCTTAGCATGCAATTCTTCGTAACGACAACGAATTTCCCAGTAAAATATCAGGGTTCTTGCAATCAAGAATAAATTTCGTGAAACAAACGAACCGTGCCATGCAGGAAATCAAATCGGACTATGGAGTAATTACCTAGGTAGGTTTTTCATTCGCGAGTACTTGGTAGTCTGGTCCACTCCCACATGCTCTTTGCTCTGTACCCTTCCAACGCACCCAAGACAATCGGCATTCGGAAAGCCCGGTCAACCCGCTCAAAAGGTCCGGGCGCCTTTAAGGCCGCGTTCAATCCAAGCTGGCCCCAGACTGGCTCTTTGTCCCGGGGAAGCTGTTCCTCCTCGTCCGATTTTCCCATTAGTAAGCGGTCGAAGATCGCGACTTCGATTAGTGGGGACGAAGCATCAGTCCCATGCCAGCCTTGTTTTGTGACTTGTGGTCTGATGGAACGGACATCGAACGGAGCAACGATGGTGACCAATGTGCGCGTCGTTTCCGCTGATGGCAGGAGGCTTGAAAGGTATTTAAGAGCTGCTCAGTCGGCCCCCACACACGAGGAGAAGAACATTGAGAGCCCTCAGTTGAAAACATCCAAGGGTTTTGAAGTATCACCTCTCAGACAGCTCCCTATTAAACTCACCCACATTTCTTGCATCGCGTGATCTGAACCAGACATACAAGCCTGAACATGGTTCCCAAGACTCAAAAGGCTCTTCTTGTCACCGAGGTCGGCAAGCCTCTCGTCCTCAAGACAGATCATCCAGTGCCTCAACCAGGCTTAGGACAGATCCTTGTGCGCGTCACCGTGGCTGGGCCGAACCCGCACGACGAAAAAGCCCGCGACCGCGGCCTCTTCATCGCCGAGAACTTACCCGCTATCCTCACCAACGACATTGTGGGCGAAGTCGTCGCTCTCGGTCCGAATGTGACAAAATATGCCATTGGCGACCACGTCGTCGGACACGCTGGCTTCGACAAACGTTATGCCCAGAACGGGTTCCAGGAGTACGCTGTTTTCGACGTCGACTTCTCGGCCAAGATCCCCGAGGGATTCACAGATGATGACGGGGCGACATTGCCGACCAACGCCGTTGCTCCACTTGTTGCGCTCTTTGATGCTTCCACGCTGGCGATTCCTGCTCCCTGGACTCCTGCCGCGTCAAACTTTGACTACAAGGGCACTACGCTGCTTATCATGGGTGGAGGGAGCAACTGCGGAAGGTTCGGCGTTCAGCTTGCTGCTTTGGCTGGGATAGGACGCATCGTCGTGGTCGGCGGCGACGAGGCCGAGTTGAGATCCTTAGGCGCGACACATGTCATTGATCGCCATGCTTCCCCCGAAGAACTCACCAAGCGGATCCGCGACGTGGTAGGTGACGAGCTCGTGTACGCCTACGACGCCATCAACCCGCCGCCTACTCAGACCATAGCGATCAACGCCCTCTCTTCGACCAAGAGGGGCAAGCTCGCCCGGCTGCTCCCCACAGGGCCTGTCGACGAGTCTCAGGTCCATGCGAAAAAGGAAGGCTATGAGCTGCTCAACACCTTTGGCAGTTCGCATGCCAAGGCCGACTTGTGCAGGCCCTTTTGGGACCGTTTGCCGCAGTATTTGCTGGACGGGAAGTTGAAGCCGACTAAGTACGAGGTGGTCAAGGGGCTGGATGCGGACAAGGTGAACGAGCTGTTTGATCGATACAGAGATGGCAAGAGGGTGGTGAAGACGCATTTCCACGTCTCTGAGTAAAATCACACGACTGAATGTGCCGCCTGCCTAGCAAAATGTAAGAATTCACTGCAGCTCCTATTTTCACCATCTTGTCAAACTCTTCACTGTGATTCGGTGAGCATGGGCTTAATCACTCTGCCATTCACTTAAGTCCAGTCACTTCCATTATTGACTCCTATCATTGTCTACTGTCATTGTCAGTTATCACTGCCTACTATCACTGCCGTCCTCCATTCACCCGAAAACACGCTTAACGGGTCGCCATCGCCATACGAGACTCTAACCCACCTCATATATTCCAAGCTCGTCTACCTAGATATCAACAACGCGTCCAAGGAGCTGTTAATCAAAAAGACCACCACAGTATCGAGCAGACTCGATCCAAGAAGATTAACAATCATCAGCCCCTGCATTTGTCAAAATGGCCATGCTCAATGGGATTAAAGAGTTCTTGCGTGCCCAACTTTACGGCCCTTCTCCCAGCAGAGCGAAGTCTGAAGAATCGGGCAATACAGGTGTGGATGATCTGCCTGCCGCTACAGACCTTTGGGGGAAAGTTCAGAGGGAGTTGAAGGACCCTGGCCGCTAGTTAGCATTATCTATCAACCACAGCAGATCGATGGAGACCGACGACCGACGATTCGACGACAAGTTTAGACGGATGTACAAGAGATTCCGAGAAGAACTGAGAACTTGCTCGGGCACATGGCACGAGGCCCCTTGGTTGGTATTTGACCGGTTCAAATGGTCCGAAGTCCACAGGGCGAAAATACAACTTGGCCTGCTCTCTGAAGCCGAAGGTGCTGATCCAATTCCGAGGCTCAGGAAGGTCTTGATGGCGACGGGTCTCTACATCGTCCTGCTCGCGACGAGGCAAAGCCTGGACCGCATGATGAAGGATATTCAAAAAACCCTCGAAGAAGACTTTCCACTGCTGGCCAGAACCCAGATGCGATTCTGGACACCTGAGATGCGGCAGCTCAAGAGCGAAGAAGTCATGACCGTGAGGGGGTGGGAGACATTCAACCGGATGCTGGAAAACATGTCGCTTGAGCTCTCGGTTGCCTTGGGGCAGATCAAAAAAGGGAATGTTGATGACCAAGCTGGAACAGAAGAAGGTAATCGGAAGCCAATATGCGAGGTGCTGCGTCGTGAGATCCACAAGGAGCATCCTCACTTGGACCTACCAGATCTTAGCCTGCATGTTGAGTTGTGAAATGAAGTGCACACTGCAAGCCATGCATGTGGCCAAGTGAGGCAAAAGCTCATCATCCAAGTACGTGGTACACTTTCGCCGCTGACAGCGTGGAAAGGCCAACTCTCACCGTTCCAGAGGCTCCTAGATTGGTGAGTGCCTCACAAACGGAACGAGTGAAACTGTCCTTTGCTTGCGTCGGCAGCAAGTGAAGTACCTAGACAGGCCCCGCAAAACCGAACAATAGGTCATCACAGTAGAGACGCCTCCATACTGTTCGCGATGTTAAGATAATGGCTCCTGTCACGGCTCTCCTCTTCCGTCACCGCCTTCCCACCCTGACCACGACACAATTCCGCGACTATATGGAAGACACACATGTCCCACTCGTCAAGTCTCTACTCAGCCCAAAGCACCCTTTGACCCACACCCGCTATTACACGAATAAAGACTCTGGCCATGTGATTGGCTCCCCATCTCCAACAGATGTAGATTTGATTGCTGTTATAACCTTCGAGAGCGAGGAGGCAATGCAACAGAGCCTGCAAGCAAGACAGGCGGATGGAACTCGGGAAATCATCGAGGCGGACGAATCGAAGTTCCTGGACAGGTCCAAGGTGCAGTTTGTTGCTCTTGGCGGGGTCGATGTGCGAACGAGTGCCAGGGAAGAGTGAGCCTGGTGTTGGGCTTCTGTTGTTTGGCCCTACGCCCAAGGCTGTGACATTTCTTGGTGGAGGCTTGTGGGGGATCCCTTCTTTAGATACGCTAAGCCATGTGCGGGGGACCTCGCGTGTGCGTTGAGACCAGGGCTAGCCACGGACCGTGATACTCTGGCTCTGCCTAGGCAAGCGGTCTGCTAGCCTCGTGGCTAGAGCTCATGTTATCTACCTGCTCTTCCGTAGATTTCTCCCATAAATATCCACCAGGAAGACCTGTTCGTCCCTGAATATGGCTGCGGCACGGAGGCAGGTCATACATGCACCTTCAAATGAGATTCCGCGAGGCGTGAAATCCGTCTTCCTCGCTGGCACCACCAGCCAAGTCGACGCGACCGACTGGCGCGAGGCCCTCTCCACCTCTCTCCTTGACACACCCGTCACGATCTATAATCCGTATCGCGCTGATTGGGACAGTTCGTGGCGAGAGGACATCAACTTTGCACCATACCGCGAGCAGGTGGAATGGGAGCTGGAAAAGCAGCACCAGGCTGACATTGTCATTTTCTACTTCCACCCCGCCACTCAAGCGCCCATTAGTTTGCTTGAGTTAGGGATTTGTGCGCGTGCTCCTGGCAAGGCTATCGTTGTCTGTCCAGAAGGATACTGGAAGAGGGGGAATGTGCAGATTGTGTGCAACAAATTTGGCTTTGAAATGGTGGACACGCTTGATGGACTAAAAGACGCGATTAGAAAGAGGTTACCGGTTGGCTGTTGACTCCCAGGCCCGAGGACAAGAGCCAAACCTTTTTGCCGCCATCGAATCACGACTCGGACTTGCCTGCCATGGAGTCCCCTATTCTGCAGGTCTGTTTGTCTTCGTTTGCTTCTTCCATGTCTCAATCAGGCATATTCTGACGCGGCATTCTCAAGGAAGGATCTCTTCGCCAAACAGTGGACATTATTGACCAAGTTCTGCGTGGGACGTATGGAACCTTACGATCGCAGAACGATCAGAAGCTCCCCGATATATGAGGATGTCTTAGAGCATGATTTTGTCAACCAAGATGAGGAGCTGTTCCTACATACCCACGATGCCACTACCCGCCATTACTGTCAACGTCAGTGCCGCCATAGGGACTCTTCACCTTGCAGCATATGGCATGACTAAGCCCAACTGCAATCTCATCGCCTACACTATAATATCTAATAACTTAGCGCGGACAATATACCCGACCAACTTCAAGCAGCAAACCGAGTCAGATATTGCGAATGTTTCCCACACGGCTTTATGATCGGGAGCCGTGAGTTGCAAAGCTTGATTGATGCGCTCAGACATGATTACGAAAGGAAATGGGGAGAACATCCAGAGAGAATCTCCCATGATTTGGCCAGAGTCTACCTTGAGCGACGCGACGAGATCCTTAAGTATCTTCACAGACATGAGGAAGCAGCCGGCTAGATCGAAAATCTCGAGGGAAAATGCACAAGATGGCCACTCTGAGGAAAGCGGAGAGACTTGCACGCCAACCACTAGCGATGAGGGGGAGGCTCCTTTACACAACTCACGTCGAAGGACATCGGAAGACGATGGAAGCCGTTAATCCAATGGGGAGAGAGATCATTACGACGCGATGGTTCCATTTGATCGAGGATGCTTTGCTATTAACCAGCTATCCAGCGGAAAAGCCACTCGATTGACATGGATTGCTAGCTGATCAGACGAGACATCATCAAGTCACTAACTGTCCATGTCACTACAACTTCAGGATCCTGAATCTCCCCGGTCGTGGTGAGGCAGACTCCAACCTTTAGCGCTACGCTGGTACAATTAGAACAACAATATTAACAACATCCCCAGGGGAGCAAGCATATCACATGAAGAATGTCATCTTCTGAGCACAAGTTGTCACTGAAAACCAATAAAGGTGACTTCAGCCTCGGTACTTATTCTTCCCACTTCCTCGTCGAAGTTTTTCTTTTTGATCCCATCTCATCAACTTCCTTGAACCATTATCACAAATATCGATCCTGCTTACGCGGCCATATGCTCTTCTGACTGGTCAAAGTGCAACCCTCGTGGCCCACGAGTCAGTCACCCTAGCATCTTTCAGGGGAGACTTGATTGCGGCAGCAACTACTTTTATACCCATATTCCACATCTAGGTTTGTTCGTTTGACGACGTTCTTTGCTTTGCATCGACTTGGTGGGTAGGATTCTATATTGACATGAACTTTTTGGCTCACTCTCGAGATAGGTCACCCGACACTTATACCCGCTCCCCCAGATGGCGGTTCCCGACAGAGCGATTCAGAATCTGCTAAAGATAGCTCGCGAAGCTCTGGGGAAAAAGTCTGCTGAACATTCGCCTCAGTCTGGGTCTCACGAGACTTCATTCACGGCTGAAGTGCTCCATGATTGTAACCTTCTCATTCGGCTTGTCGGCCAGCTCGCGGACTAGAAGGAGAAGTATGCGCAAAGAATGCAAGCGCTGGACGAACTGCAGAAGCTGGAGCAATAAATGGAGGACTCGCTCTGGGATGGGGTCCAGATGCCGGATCTCTTGCTTCTTTCAGTTTACTTGTTCCAAACGGGGACCGTCATCGCCCTGGAGCTCGAAGAGGAGACAATCCTGTCAGACGTCAACCACGTGCTCAAGGCGTGCAAAGTGTTCTTCAGCGGTAGAGAAGAGGGGATGATTGGCACTGTGGGCAACAATGAAGGTTTCACGGCGAAGATTATCAAGGCACTCAAAATCGCGGCCGACTGCGCCACATGTCCAGGGCGGAACGAAGACTTTGTAAATGAATTGTATGCTCTATCTGGGGAAGTTGTGGCTGCCTACATACTATAAAGGGCAGTTGTTGCGTACCGCAGCGCGACATGTATAAGCATCTCTTTACGAGCTTCTAACCTTCCAACCTCGATTTGCGGGCCGCCGCTTACCATGATCAATATGAGAGCTACTTGTAGTGGCAAGGAGCAAATCAACAACTGCGAGGGTTTTGAGAGATGCAGGAGTTGATGCATGAATTGATACTCTCGTCGTTGTCTGAGGAATCACGATGTTGTAGGCAAAAAGATAGGCGGTTGGGATAGGTCCATCTTGGAAAAGGTGGTTGGGACATGCTCGAAAAGGGGACCAATGCTCGGTATGTGTTGAATATATCACCGCACATTTTTTTTTTCCTATATTCGGGCACGAAATGTTGTTTTTGTGTGCGGTGTTGGAGCACGACAAGTGAGTGGCGCAAAGTTTTGTGGATTTTCGTCGTTACCAACATGAATCTATGTATCCCTAAAGGCTTCTTCATTGGGATTATCAGCGAACGCCTATACTTTGCCACTACAATTCGGATTCGAACTCTCTGACAGCTTCATCCGCCTCATTTAAGGCTTGGTGGGTCTCTCGCCGTTCCTTCGAGCCTGGTGGAAATTCCTCACATGCCAGCTCAAAGTCCTCATAAGCTCTCCGTTGACCATCCAATAGTTCTTTCTTCCGTGCTTGATACACCGGGTCTGCATCCTTCGCCTCCTGCTCTGTGACACTCTCTTGGAAGTCGCATATTGCCTTTTCCAGCTGCCGATCATATTCGTCTTCCGGTTGCACGCTAAGATCTTCTAGCTGTTCCTGCCCCTCGTCTTGATCAAGCACTCTCTCACGTACGGAAAGATATGCAATCTCGTCGCTCGCTCCTGCCTTTAGAACACCGCTACTGAACCGATCTGGATACAGAGAAATCGAGAACGGCACCATCCATCCTTGACTGTCACTGCCCTCGATGCCGCTCCGATACCAGACGCCCTCGAGGTTCAGCAGCGTCCACTGAGCAGCCCACACAAGATCGCCCGCCAGCGGTACTTCAGTCTCTATTTGCTTTACTACACTTACGTCCACCTCGGGGCCGACAGGGGGCCCCCCAGCAGCAGCCACAAGGGCAGAACTGAGCGCTGCTTCGGCGCCGGCCGATGCATTCTCAATCTCGCTGCAGGTTGCGTCTCGGAAAATGTACAGACCTGTTAGCAGCCAGATGCGCGGCTTGCGTCTGAAGATATTCATCCGGTCGCTGTGTGCGGCCGAGACCCACGTGGCGAGGGTTCTGCGTGCTTCATCATTCTTCAATACCTCGTGATGAAAGAACGAGTCTGAACTGCGAAAATGGGTCAGTGTAGCTTGGGGAGTAAGGTCTGGTGGATAGAGTGGTACTTCTTAAGCTCGATCTTCTGCCCGCTCGGCGCACTAATCAGCCGCGTGCGTGTTGAATTCCAAGGGAATTTGAGAGTAACGATATCGACCAAGTCGGCTCCAATGGAGATATTGAGTCCTTTCTTGACCTTGACCCTCGTTGTTTTCGGAAGTGGGATGATGTTTGCATGGTTTCGACGACCCTCGTCACTTCTCATGGCAATTAGGATTTCTTCATATTCTTCCGATCTGTTTGATAATGTTAACTCACGGTAGATTGGGATGAGTGTAGTGTCGGACTCTGGTTGGATTGGCATAATCTCGCAAGACTAAGTTGCCCAGGCAGAGTTTGTCTTGCGGATACCCGGTTCCGTAGACGAAGTAGGTCTTCTTCTCGCGATATCGCATTATTCCCAAATCGAGCAATGATAAATGTGTGATTACAGGGTGTATAAAGGAATGTTCGGGATTAACGTCTAGGAACATCTGTCATGCCGATCAAATATGTCCTGCATTTCCTGTTCGCGTGATCTGGGATGAAGTGGCATGACGCCATCTCGTATTTGCGGGCTTTGTTGTCCTCCTTGATTAGCGCCACCCATGTCACGGCCGATATAGTTCCCTTGCGGAGAGGCTCTCTCTTCTATTTACATTATTGTCTGTCCGTTCTCTGTCTATCACTACCTCGGGCGCATTGACTGAAGGGTTGAGCGGCCTAGGTGTATCTGCTTGGTTCTTAGGCACTTCTCGAGCCTATACTTGGACTCTCACAGGTGGAAATGCCTCTGTGCAATTCGCATTTTTGTGCCATGTTTGATATGAGGCAGGGAAAGAAGGATCCATGCATGGAGAGAGAGAACTGAGGGAAGGAACCGTCGGACTTCACTAATCACCTCGTTTCTCATCTCTCTTCGACCTCAACTTTTACATACCACGAGGACGCCTTCGATGCAAGCATTGTCGTTCGAGTTCTCTCGTTTCTGTGGCTATCCTTAACTAGCACTCGATTGACATATCTCTCGTACTCTCCTTCTTACGTCCGAGTGTTGAGTACACCCTGCTGTCTCTCGTTCTACGAGGTCTTTTATATCTCTGCATGTCCAGCTTATTGAAGTCAGCATCGACTTGCGCTAAATTTTGGGTTTCACCGCTCCCAGATCAAGCAATAGAAGGAGCGTGGAATCACCCACCGAGTCTCACCTCATACGAGCTCGCTGATATCTCATCTGTTCAATGAGAGGCAACTCGATTCTGTGGCAGCCTCAACCCGAAGGCGCAAGACACTGGAGCTCGGCGGGGGAATCAAATATCAAAGACCGGATGAGGGGCCAGCAGATGCCGATGCCATTGTCCGTGATTCCAGAAGAAGTCACAGATTTGGAAGAAGACGCAAACGGGATGGACATGGGGACTAGCGTCTTGAACTTTTGGCGTCCGTATCTTGAGAGGATTTTCGAACGACCCATCGCCAGCGGATTCCATGAGGTTGTTCCCAAACCAGAGCTGAAGCCGAAATTTACCCACACTGCGCCACCCGCGACGACGACGACGCAGGAGCCGGGGGAGTTGGACATGACTGCTTGTAACCTCCGGACGTGCCCCATGCTGACTGGGGATATTGTAGTCGTGATCTGGGGCTGCAGAAATGGATCGAAGCCCATGTCCGGATCTGGGGTACCTGCAGTCTGCTCCACAGAGGCTGCCAATCAATTGACGCAAAATTAGTCCAACATCTCTCCATCAGATGGCTGGAGCATGACAAAGCAGCGTAAAAAAGGTTAGAGCAAGTCAAGTACGAGAGGGACCGCCGGTTCGACTTCAAGAGTCGCCCAGGTATTGCGGGGAGGTTGCAGGGAATGGTCTGGACCCTTCCTGACATGGGCACATTGTCCAACCATGCATCCAACAAGCCAGCTCGCCGGTTCACCCGACTCAACAAGGTTTATGTACGAATGGAGGCCTTGGCCGCAATGGTTAAAAAGAGTGTCTGCGCCTTGTACACCCTTCAAGCAGAGCTCTATGCCGCCATACTGGACAGCAAGTCGGACTTCGCACTTGAAGACACTGGACAGGCTGGCATCGACCTCGGAAGGATCAAGGCGGTGTGGGATTCCAGAAACGAAGCGATATTCAGACAGCGTATTGAGAAGATGCTGAGTGGAAGAAGCAACATCTCTGTCACGATGTGGACCATCCCAGCAAGATCCTGACCAACATCACATATAGGCCAGCCAGATATCCATAGCTGCAATCAATCTCCGGATGGCCAAGGTGAAGAACTGTTCATATCCACATTGGTCGGTGTGGCCCGGAGAGGAACAGAGAATCGAAGTTGAGGCTGTGGTTGAATTAGATGGCGGCTAGTTGCAGATGAGGCTGTTCCTATTTGCTATGGAGAGTAGTTGGGGGAAGGGGGGCTACTAAGGGGCCACCTAGGCGCGGGGAGGCGGTACTGCCAAGCGGAAGGCGGAGGGCGGGACGCAGGAAGCTGCACAGGCAAAGCGGGGATTCGATTCGCGCATTTGTCTCCGTCGGAACTTTTGCAGCTGTTCGCTTTCTTCATTTCCCCATGGCGCGCCCATCAAAAGCACCCATGACCTGCATTCGACTTATTCATACCGTCTTCAACACGCTCTGATATCCTCCCTTTTTTTTTCCTTTGTAGAAAGAAATCTCTGTGCGCTCGCTCTGCGCTTCAATGACCGAACATGACCGACACCAAAGATCACGCCCAACAAGCTCTGACGGAATCAAATCCGTCCCTCAGCCATATTTCTCGCCAACCCTCATGGACAGGCTCGGTCGATGGCAATAATACCAATCCATCGCCTCTGCACGGTCGCAAGAGGTCTGCCGATCATCTGCCTACCGAGCCGCATGTTTCGCGCAAAGGCCGAGCCTGTTTGGCCTGTCGCAAACTGAAGGTGAAATGCGATAGTCTGGAACGAGGTGACGCCGGTTGTTCGCGATGTCAGCGCCTGGGCCTGGATTGTATTACCTCGAAGCGCATGAGAGTGAGTCTTGACGATGATGGCGAAAATCCTCATCCCTCGATCGTTCGGCTCGACAGAGCTGTGCAAGACATTCTCTCCCGACTGAAGATGCCGCCGTTGGAGGCTTACTCTCGCACCCATCCATCACAACACCTGCAACCACCTCCACTACCTGTTCCTGCAGAATCCAATGCGCAGACCACGCGGGAGAATTCGCGCGAGCCGAACCAAGAGGATGCGCATGAAGTCGCTCCTGCGCCAATGGGCAGTCTGTACGAGGTCACTCAGCTCAACACTCTGCGGAGCCGCCTAAAGTATGGCGACCCGGCGCGCCGCAACTCAAAGAAGAACATGGAGAACGACCTAATTTCCATGGGGGCTATCAGTGTCGAGGAAGCCGAGGAAATGCTCAGCTTGTTCAAGACCACCCTCTCACGCTATCTGTTCGACGCCACCATACATGAATCCCGCACACTTCTCTCAGTCCGCGAGTCCTCGACCTTGTTCTTTACGGCTATCATCACCGTCACGTCGCTCCACATCCCAGGCAAGGAGAAGATCCACGCCTCTGCACATAAGCACCTACGAGACCTCATCGCGACATCTTTCTTCGACCGCTTCCATACCCTCGAAGACATCCGCGCCCTGTGCATTGCAGCATTCTGGCTTCCGGACCTCAGCTGGAAACTCTCCGGCCATTGCGTGCGTATGGCGACCGAGTTGAATCTGCACCAAGCATTTTTCAAAGCTCTCTACTCGCAGAAGCAGTCAGCAAGTGACCGCGAACACGCGTTCGAGCGGGCCAGATTATGGTATCTCCTTTACGTTCTGGATCACCATTTCAGTATCGCGTACGGACGACCACCGGTCACGGCAGAACTACAAGCCATCAAAGAATACGATGTCTTTCTGAATGCCCCTGAATGCACGCCATCAGATCGAAGAGTTTTATCACAAGTCACACTGTTCATTATCTTGAGTAAAGCGTACAACCATTTTGGTTTGGAAGCCGAGAGACTGATGGACGGAGACGATGTCACGCTTCTCACTCACCAGCGCTTTATCGAGGATTTGCATCGCTGGAGATATCAATTCCGCCATGCATTGAACAGGGATGCGCATGTGGGAGATTATCCTGCTGTTGGTGAGTGCTTACCCCCACCATGCTGCCTATGTACAATGCTGTATCTAATCCATTCCTTTTGTCTCTTACAGGCGTCGAACTCCATTACAACTTTGCGTCGATGATGCTCAATTCTCTCGCCCTGCGTGGCCGCTCCCTCTTCACCATCTCCTCCACATCAACACTCCCCACATCTCTCCGGCCTCTCGCATCCCACGCAATCTCTTCGGCGCACCAAATCCTGATCATCGTCCTTGAAGAACCTTCCATTCGGGACTCCATGGTCGGAGTACCCCTCTACTTGCACACCGTCATCGCCTTCGCCGTGGTCTTTTTGATAAAGATGTCGAGTCGATGGACAGGCATAGGTGTGAGTATCGATGCGGAGGCCAAGACGAAACCGCTCATCGAGAAAGTAATTGAGTTATTCCGGAGCTGCCAGGCTGGGAAAGGGCATATTCTCTATGCGATGGCCGACGGGTTTGAGAGATTGTTGAGGCGCAACCTGGTGGGCAACAACGGTCAGCTTGGGAAGGGTCTCGGGGCGGAAAACGGCACCCCGGGGTACGCATCTCTCGACGCCACGGCGGCTCTTGGGGGCCGACAGAACGGTGGGAGAGAGACGCCCTACGCACAGCATCCAGGCCAGGTACAGGGCCAATCGTACCAGCAACACGCGGAGCTGTATGCCCCGTCGTCGCAAACAAACACGCCCTCGCTGCTCCCGCCGCAACACACCACGACCTCTCCGACCCCGTTCACTCCTACCCAACAACAGCAACACCCCAACGGTGGTGGCGGCGGTGCCAATTTCGACCCCTACACCCTCTCCCCGCACTCGCAACCCACTTCCACCTCCGCAGGCACCTTTGGCGGCTGGCAGACCGAAGACGACATGCTGTGGAGCATGGGCATGGGATACGACCTGTTGGCCACGGCGCCCGATGTCAACGCCCACGGCTTGGGCGCCTTTGTCGGATGGCCTGGTGGAGGCGGTGGCGGTGGTGCGGGAAGTATTGATTCCGCCGGGGGGTTTTCACAGGGTTTATGAGTCAAGGACTACGGAGTATTTATTTATATATTACATACACAGCTAGGCAGGTAGGGAGAGTATGAAGCGGGTGCTATGATAGGGTAAGCGTTGAGCAACGACGAATGATCCAGGGAGCGGAAAGCTGTGATGTTGATGGTGCGGTGCAGGGCGGTGCAGTGTTTTGATACCATGTCTTTTATCCTTTCTTCTGTCCTGTCTTTGTGCATTGGTCCATACAGCACAGCACAGCACAACACGCCACAGCACTTTTTCAGACGGAATCCATCTGGCTTACTCGGTAAATACCTACCTGGGTAGTGTCTGCATTGCCAACTACTTACGTGGGTGGCATGCGTATATACATACCACAATGTAAATTGCCCTCGAGGACGGACAGGACGTTCTCATGGTCTCGCGTGGACGGGAAGGATAGACGAGGGTTGTAGTTGTGGTTGTAGGTAGCCACTGGCTCATCAGTCATTCAGTCAAGTTACCTATATACCAGGCGGTAAACGAGCTAGCGAGATAGCCACATACACATATGCATAGCTTTGGCTCGAGCACTTTGGTGTTCTGGAATCTCTCTTTCTGTAAAAGATTACGTAGTACATGCACCACCTCATGCCCCCCGCCGTTGGCTTCGCTGCCTCAGACATCAACGTACGGAGTATCCCAAGTCAGATTCCCTAGTCTCATCACCGCTTTTTGATTGGTAGTCGAGTCCCGACTCTTAACGCCGCCGGAAGGGGGGCATTAGCTAATGCATGGAGACCCACAAACTGGTGAACCGGTGCCGTATCGTGTCGGCAGTCAGGATTCCTTGCGTTCCCTTCGCTTCGCCCTGAATACAGCGTTGACGAGAATTTCGCGGCGATAGGCTGTGTTGTGTTGGGTAAAATTGCCTGGTCGTGCTGTGCAGGATACCTTCCACTCTGGGGTCTGGAAAGGTGTTTGCATTTCAACCGGATGCCTCCCTCATGAGACTGAACTTGGACTCTGACCATGTCCATTTCGCCAGTGGGCGGCTAAATGTGCTAAAAAGGTGCAACTCTTCTCCTATAGCCAATCCTCTCTGACAACGGTGTGAGAAGCGGGCAACGCTATCGAGGAGTGGGGTGTACAGGTACACATACCGTGCATTTCGATTCTTTCGATGATCATAATTGTATGAACGCGGTGACTGACATTCTGTGGCCCACCGGGCTAACACAAGAATGTTGTCTCTCAGGTCCATGTTGATCAGTCTTGCCCGGAGCTTATCTCATAGAGGCCAAATCCAGGTTCTGGAAGTGGGTATAGAAATCTTTCAAGTTGCGTCTCAATTTTCACACCGGCAATTCTGCATTCCGGCGACCGCTCGAGATTTTCTGGAGAGCCATCTGGATGTATGGACCCACAACAGGGATGTTACTGGCAAACGATGCTATGGTAGCAAAGAAGTCGCCAAAGAGGACGAATATCCCGTAAAGTTCAACCAGAAATCCGGTCAGTGGCCAGCGGATCAATATGAGAAGTATTCCTGCCATAAAGGCAGCTGTGCCTTTGAGTTTTTGACGCCTGGCGAAGAAGACAAATGTTTTTTGGATTCCGATGATGAGAGTGAGGCCGATTAGGAAGAGGATCTGGAGGGATCAGCATACACCTACTGAGATGGAGTTGGCGGACGAACATTTCCCATCGCTAGCCTGGAAAGAAGTCAGCATGTCATCTCGGTTTCTCTCCTGAACAGCACATACATCGAGCGATCGAAGAACATGAGGACACCTCCGAACAAGAACATTCCACCTTTTACAAAATTAGCTCCTCATTCTCTAAGAATCCGGCCCATGCATTTACCTCCTGAGCAGAATGCCACCCCAACCTCTACAAATGGTCAGCCTCACTCTGCACAATTGGGAAGGACAGAATCAGGGAGGGCATACTTTGCATATCCGTGAGCCACATGCTGGGCATCTTTAGTGTCTTACGATAAGTCGAACACTGGGAAGGGGCGAGCGCTTGATTGAGTAGCGAGGATAGAACCAACTGGAGGCCGAAAGAGACTGTGAGCAGTAGGAAATGACGCGGTCTTTTGTCTGAACGCGGGAGTAGCTTGCAACTGCCAGCGTGGTGGTCCTTCGAGTTGTCGAGTTGTCCTCAAGGGGGTTGACAGAATCGCAGGAGCGGATAAACCTCGGGTCCGGTCCAAGTCTAGCGCAGCCTTGTAACAGTTCAGCCTCGTCGGTATTTACCTTGGAGACAAGGATTTGATCCCTTTCAAAGGATGTTTCAGTCCTCGGCTTGCTGGTCTCATAGAACGCACAAAACATGTTGGACTGTCCTTAGTGTTCATGGCTGTCTCTTTGTGCCTTTTTGAGGTTTTCAGAGGAGATACGCCAACTTCCATCCAGATATCACAAATGGCCGCCAGTCCAGCCTTCATTTTGTGTCATCAACGCGGATACATCTGGCAGATTCGAAATATCCATGTCGAATTCAAAGGTTGCGTCATCCCAGAAGTTCGCTCCCGACAAGCTGAGCTCTTGCGAGCTTTGTAAGGTTGTTCGTGGCAACGGTGCGTCTGGGTTAATCGGCGATAGAAATTGAGTGTTCACGTTCAATTCTACGTTGTCGGATGAGTCACCGCTGTCCACAACAGGCGACGAAGACACGGCATAGTCGAGCAGATTCCACAACAGTGCAGTCTCCACCTTTGGTGGGTTATTCGAGCCGGTGTCAACTTGTGATGTGGCGAACTGTGCAAGTCTGGCAAGCTTCGAAACCTGCAAAGGATGAGGGTCAAATGGTAAAAGCCAGTGATACATTCAAACTTACGGTGTGCTGTAGATGACTGTGAGTGTTCGCCATTTTCTCAACATAGCTTCCGAGCATGTCAAAGTCCCTGGATGCCTTCGTTGCCAAGGACTGATCCTTCGAGAATTGTAAGAAGAACTGTGCAGTTGCAATCATCGAAGCCAAGTGACCAATAAAGGGATCGAAGATCGTAAAGTTTCTTTCCTCGCACAATCTTAGAACAAGGACGACCCAAGCGGAGTGCAACACTGCCTGATCTGTTGCATGTTGAAGGAACGACGGAGAGCGCAGTCTTGGTCGACCGGGAATCCTAGCAATATGGAGAAAAGGGTGGTTAAGGGTACAGTGTATTGTATGGTAGATACACTGTGTGAAAACCCAGGGCGCCCAGTATCCACGTTGCTGTTCTAGCTCTGAAGGCGTCCTCTCATGAAATCGGTTATTCTTGAATCGATGGACTTCTGGAAGTACAGTTTCAAATCGCGACATTTCGGACTTGATCTGTTGATATACCGAGTTGGCAGTCCACGCGTCTTCGAGATTGCCTTGTCTGATGGTCTTCAGATAAGCCATCAAGCGACCCCATATTGACAACAACTGTAAAGCGTAAGCGTAGATACCGGCGTCCTTCTCCTCTACAGCTTCAAACTCCGCCGGCCTATTGGAAAAGGCTAACATAGGCCCTTTCGCCGAAGGAGGCATTTCAGGTAGGGTTTCTTCGGTAGAAATGGTTGGTAAACCCCGAAAGCTGCTCCCGTGCATTCGATCAAGGATGAACAAGCTCCAACAGCATCGAGAGAGCTCAGGGTTTGAAGAGATGCTTTTTGTTGTCCTGCACATCACATTTGAGCATACAGCCATTCGCACAGCAACGCCGAGAGCCATCCAGGCCCTTGTCATCTTCCCGTCTATTATTCTCTCCGTTAGCTCTGCACAATTCTCAAAAGATCTTGACAAACCTTCGATCTCGCTGAGACACAGCAGACAAAAGGCCTGAAGAGCGTCAACATCGGCGGTTGGCTCGGCAGCTTGAGCAAACAATATCTCCGAAGCAGAATTCTTGTAAAATTCTACGGCACGAGACTGGGAGCCTCTGAAGAAGTCACTGTCCGAATATCTGACAGTCACCGCAAGGAAGCTCCTCAGAAGGCCTCTTGAAAATTTCTGCACACTAAGCGGCAGACTTTTGATCTCAAATAGGGGCAGAGGCTGGTCGGCAAGTCGGTCAATATAAAGCTGGACTAATGTCTGGAGCACCTCAGGCGGAGGCTCGGGTCTGTGAGAGTCAGCTTTGGAATTGATCAATAGCTGAGAGACAAAACCTCTGCGAAGGGTCAAAGCCCGAGACTCCGTGCTGAATGTCTCCATCGGCCTCAACTTCTCCTCGTGGCGGATTTGAAGAGGCGTTGAGCAGCGGTGTCGAAGCCCCGGGAAGCCTGGCCGACGATTGTCCTGATTGCAGCTCGACGAGCGTGCTGAGACGTCAGCTCCTGGTTGAAGCTTTTCAAGAGGCCGCAGACTTGACAGCATCCACGATCTGATCCACTCTTGCCTCTAATCTCTGCATCCGGTGTCGATCGAGATTGCTCTCTTCCTGCTTGCTTCGTGAGCCACTTCCATTGTCGGAATTTTCTGGGAACAGTCGCACATTTGGTCGTCCATTCGGTTTTTCCTTCTCAATGCGATACCCACGCACCTCGCTATTGCGTGTGTAGCTGCATTGTTGGTGGAGGCGGGTGCAAAAACTGCAGTTCGGTTGCTCTCCAGGACATTTCACTTTCTTGCGTCTACACGGATCGCAGGCTTGTCGAACACGACCCTGCAGCCCGCTCATCTGACTCATGCCCTGTCCTTGCCACGGACCTACCTGTCCGAAATCAATGAGTACATGCTTGGAGAAGACAAGACAATGAAGCTGCTAACCGACGGTGCCGAATCACTGTCGAGGCCACGAAGTCGGAAGTGTTTCCGCATTGTTCGAGACTGTGTTTTCGGTTCCGATTTCGGCTGTGTCGAACTTCTTTCCTTCATCTCACGCTTCCATTTCAGCGCATATTCATGTATCTTGCGACAACGGTGTAATGATCGAGCAGAAGGCAGGTGACTTCATGAAGGACGCATCATAATTTGAAGTGTCTTGCTTCCGGCAATCTCTAATGCGGCAATTCGATGACGGCACTCTCAACCCACAAGTCTACGAGATGCCTATATTTCATTATCTTTTCGCATGACCGGCAATGAACTGTTACATTAGCAAAGTGTGCAACAATGTTACGTTTAGGTGACAGCTACAGATTGCCGCGCGCCATCTGCTCCCTCTCGATCGCCTCAAACAGGGCTTTGAAATTACCAGCCCCGAACCCAGAGAAGTTATTTCTCTGAATGATTTCGATGAACACCGTGGGTCTGTCCATTAGGTGCTTGGTAAAGAGCTGGAGTAGGTACCCGCGCTCGTCGAAGTCGATAAGAATGCCGAGCTTCTTCAAAGCAGCAAAATCTTCGTTCAGCTTCATGCCCGCGCTTTCGAGCCTTTTCGACATGCTTTCATAGTAAGTGTCCGGAACACTGATGAACTCGATTCCCCTCTCTTTCAGGTTGGTCACCGTTGTGATGACGTCGTTGGTCCTCAGTGCAATATGTTGAACGCCAGCCCCATTATAAAAGTCAACATACTCTTCTATTTGTGATTTCCGAAGACCTTTTGCCGGCTCGTTGATTGGCATTTTGATCTTCTCGTCGGGACTGGCCATCACTATCGACTTCAACGCAGAATAGTCGGTACAGATATCCTTGTCATCGACAGACCAGAATCTATGAAAGCCGAGCGTTTTCTCATAATACTCGCAAGCGGTCTCCATTTCATCCCAGTCCTGGTTCCCTGGAGAAGTCAGAACAGGAGCTTCCCACGCCATCAGAAAGTTCAACTCACCCACGCAATGGTCAATGACGGTCAAGTCAACTGAGGGAAGGTAAGTAGCGCTCCTCTCCAGATCTGTCACCGTTCGATATCCCGGCAAAAAGGCCCCGGTGTACTTGTGGCGCTCAATGAGAGTATGAATAGTGTCGCCGTACGTTCTGATCGAGGCCACCTTGGCTGTTCCAAAGTCATCGCATGTGCTTTTGGGTGCTTCAACAGGATGTGCGCCTTTTGAAACAGCCGCGTTATATACCGCAGTAACATCATCCACCTCAAATGCAACATCCCGGACTGCATCTCCATGGGTGCTGAGATGATCGTGCATCTCTTTTAACAGAGTTCGGTCTTCGTCTGAGAGCCACGGCACCTTTGAATCAGGCCCGTGCAGCGGTGAACTAAGCACGAAGACGACGTCTCCGTTACGAACGACGTGAGAAGCAACCACTCTCGAACCAGTTTCTAGCCCACGGTATGCGATCCTCTGAAAGCCCATTCGAGAGACATAAAATGCTGCCGCCTGCTTGGCATTTCCTACCCACCATGCAACATGGTCATACCCTCGATAACTGGCAATATTTTTGGGAGTTTTGGGCAATGGCTCTGGCGTGGCCATGTTTCCATGTATTGTCTTCTGTCCCAATTCATGGGTTGGGATTGGTGTCGGGTCCAGAGCAATAGGTGCCATTCTGAATATGGTGGCTGTCCAACAGAATGGGAAGTTGTAAAGACGAAGAAGAGCCTGCAATGTGCACGAACGAGTTGGCATCCAGTATCAGCCAGCATTGGGATGATATTCACTGCTCTTATGCCCACAGAGCAATTCTTCCGTGGCTGTGGGGACGGAAGGCACCAAGGCACTCCCGGGGGCGTATTCCGGGAATAAGCGAATATTGCCTCAACAAAATCGGCGTCTGAGCTGAGGGACTCGGAAAGCTCTATTTCAACTTGAAAGTATCATACCTGGTTCGCATCATACTACGCGAGGTTGTCTTTCCGCGACTGCAGTGGAACAACTCGTTGCAATTGAGTTAATCAACGATCATCCTTTGGGCAAACGTCTTCCTGCCTCCAAACGCCGTCTCAGAATGGAAACGTCTAAATTGAGCGCGAATGATACCAATGTCTTATCGGCACTATTCGATCCAGAATTGTCACTCACAAGCGCCACACAAGTCGAAAACAGATTGCTAGATGACCAGGTGCCAAGCAGTCTAAAGAGACTTCGGGAGCAGGAACGCCTTGCACTACAATCAGTCAATTTGGAGCAGCCCCAACCCGCTGATATCGAGCATTCAATCTCTCAGTTAAGCGAAATCATCGCAAATGAACCTTCCTATGCGTCTGCGTGGAACAACAGGGCGCAAGCTCGAAGAATGCTCATAAGGGACGAGGATCTCCCTAGGAATCCATGTACTGTGGTTGAAATCTTTCAAGACCTCGCCCAGGCCATTTCACTCACGACTCCAAGTGGACCAGATGTAATACTTTCTGACCTTGATGCAAAGGTTCTGGCATCAGCACATACGCACAGAGGCTATTTACTGCTGCTGGCGAGCAAGTCTGAAGATAGTCGAAAGCTGTTAGCAGCGCTACCACATCTTAGAGATTTATCGATTCAGGAGCTCGAGGAAGCTGCAAGTCGGGAGCTTGGGTTGGGAGGCCGCTATGGAAATGAAACGGCACGGCAGCTAGCTGTGAAGACGAACCCCTACGCAAAACTGTGTGGCTCAATAGTGAGAGAGGCGTTAACGAAGGAGATATTGGAGTTCTACCAACCCCATATCAGCCTTGCAAAATAATCATGCTTGAGAACTTGAGACAACACATACTCAAGGCACGCTTCCTAGGCATTTGTGTTGCTAGACAGTATCATAACAGTCACAGTCCGTTGGAGGCACGCTACTCTCGTCCTCGGGAAGGACATAGTTGACTGACTACAATGACTGCGGACTTATATCCGCCATATGACGTCCCGAAGATAAGCGCACGAGGTCCATGTCACAAGGCTCCAATGAAATTTTATATCCGTCGATCGAGGACGGCTTCCCGGTCCGTGCACGTGCTGATTCCATTGTGCACATTTCCAATTACCTATTATTACGACCTCCGCAGTCCGTCCACATTACTGGCCAATATCGGATCGAGACAACTGCAGATGGAGCCTATATTGGCCATCTAGGAGACAGAGCCAGATGATAAAGCGACAAGAACCTGTCTTACTACTACCTTCCTCTTTTGCTCATTTCAGAATCATGTGACGAAAGAACTGGTCCATCCACATGTACCTGTCAGCGCCAGAGCAAGCAATGCGGGTGTGCTCCATGGCTTGGGAGACACCTCCATCAGCTGAGGAGATACTATGAGAGTGTCTTGGCAGTGTCAGCATACGTCTTTCCGACGTATATCATTCTCGCCGTGAAAGCCAGCCAAACCGACCGCGAGAGTCAGCCTCTGGATTCGAGCCTTATTGCAATCTCGTCTGAACAGTGTTTGCCTCAAGGCAGGCCTGAATGCGCGAGGGCCTTTCAACAATGAGCCCAGCCATAAGGCGCCCAGCCTCCCCACGATGGCATGGTGGCAATCGCTGACTGTGTCTGATCCCGGCTCTTCCACAAATGGACAGACTGGTAAACAGCCATTGGTATTGTATATCGTGAAAGTATTGCTCCAAACCCAAGCTCAAAGGCACCTGTAAAAGCTCCAATCAGGTAGGATCTTCGGCTCTCGTTCTGACCATGGTGTCCAAAGAGTTCGCGTCAGTGTGCCTTCACCCCCTACATTGGAGGCTCACCGATCGTTCCAACTCCATTGTTCTCCTCCAAAAGCACACGATATGCCCGGCAACGGCAACGGAGTGGGATGGCGCTCGGCTTATGCAAATGTACAAATGGATATAAGGGCATCGTTGCTGCCTACGCAATCTCAAATCACCACCACGCCCGGACGCAATAAGGTTAGTAATAAGCCACTTTGGAGTCATCGTTTTGTTGGGAACCATGACCGTTACAGTCGCCGTCGTTGGAATGGGCCCTCTGGGGCTCATGGCGTTGAAGAACCTCAAGGAGGATGGATTTGAAGTCTCCGGGTTCGAGAAGCGAAGCTGGGTGGGAGGGCTCTGGAAGCAGTCGTATGATTCTACCCTCTCGGTCACGGAGAGGACTGTTTTCAACAGCAGTCGATTCCGCAGCGCCATCTCAGACTATCCATTCTCGGATGCAATAGACGATTTCCCGACGGCCAGGCAAATCTGGCAGTATATGGAGAGTTACTGTGACAACTTTGGCCTGCGCCCGCATATCCGTCTCAATGCAGAAGTCAAGACTTTTTCGCGGGTCCACGGCAAATGGGCCGTGGAATATGTGCAGGATGGATCCATGAGCACTGGCTTTTTTGACAAGCTGATAATTTCACCGGGCACTTTCGTCATTCCGCGGTCACCTAAGTTGAAGGACATCACGAAGTTCGAGGGAGACGTCCTCCATGCACTCAATTTCCCCAATCCGTCTCGGTTCCAAGGGCAGAACGTCCTCCTAGTAGGATTTCGCGCCACTGCACAGGACTTGGTGGTTGAACTGGCTCCGTACGCCAGAAAGGTCTATATTGCGCACAGAAATGGCCTGCTACTGGTACGCCAACATTCCCCCAGCTGAGATTCTACACGCTACTAAATGCCTCATTCACAGATTTCTCGCTATGGCCCAGACGGCAAAACTTACGACCAGGCGCAAAGCGTGTCGTTCATGTTCATACAGGTTTTCATGGAAAAATGGTTTCCGAATCTCTGGGGGTGGCTTCTTGACAGGATATTTGCGAGGATGTCGAAGAAGTCCTTCCCGCAGCAGCGCGAAGAATGGGGCCTTACACCAGCACCGTCAGTAGCCACAACCCCGCCTCTGATAGCCGACGCCATCTATCCTCATCTCAAGAACGGGTTTGCGGAACCCGTGTGGGGTGTTCAAGAGATCATCGGACCGAATACCGTCAAGTTGATCGACGGGCGAGTGCTCGACGACATCAACACCATAATCTACACAACCGGTTACGAGTCGGCCGTGAC